CCGTGCTGTCGGGTTTTGTCAGGAAACAAGGGGAGAGAACAAAAAAGAAAAGAAAAAAAAACCCTTTATTCTCAATTACCCCCAAAGCCCCCAGCTACAGAGCAAACACAAAGGAATCTAGCTTCATTTAAAAAAACCTTTTCCGCCTTGGGGGAAAAGGAAAAACCCCAAAAGGGTAATTTTCCCGCAGAGCAGGGGCCCCTGAGAGCAGAGTAGGACTCACAAAGATCTCACATTAAAGGGAAAAAAAAAATTTAGCAAAACGTGGCCTCAGTTTGAAATGTTTACGTTTCTGGGTAAAAAGATAAAAAAAGCTGCATTTAAAACCACCTGACAGCGACTCCAATTCACACCTGAAGGCAGAATTCAAGCTTGACAGACGGCTGTGCGGTTTATGTGAAACATTTAGGCTTCCACTTCTAAAAGAAAGGAATTTGGGGGAAAAAGAAGACACTCATGGAGGGGGGGGGGGTGTAAAGGGAAGGGTTTGAAGGGTGCTGCCCCGAGGGCCCCACTCACTGAGAAAGCAGGGGCACTTTTTGGAAGGGGGTTGAGTTTCGAGAAAAGAATTTTAAATTTGTATTAAAAACAGAGAAACTGTGATTAAAAGGGGGGGGTGGAAAGGAAAAACCGTGTTTAAAATAGGTTTAAAAAGTGATGAATTTAGCTTAAAAGACGTTCTACTTCAACTTAAATTTTCTGAAGTTCTCTTTGATGGGATATTAAAACCAGAAATAAATTTTTAAAGATCCCCGAGGGGGAAATTTTTTTCCTTTTTAAAAGTTCAGGACCCAAACTTTTTTACACATTTCTTTTACCCCTTTTTTTTTGATATTTTTAAATTTCAATAACCCTTTTTTTATATTATTTTCATTTCCCCTTTTTATTAAAAAACCCCATATATAATTTTCATCACACATATTATATAATTTCATACACACAAAATATATTTAAAAAACATTAAAATATTTTACATAAACATATATATATATATATATTTCCTAAATATATTTTATATATTTTTATACATTTAAAAATATATATATTTATTACATACAATATATTTTTTATACATACACATATATATTTTATATATACTTTCACATTTTAAAATTTTTATAATAAAATAATAAAATATATATATATACCCTACACTTTTATATTTATATATATATTATAACATAATTTTTATATATACATACCTATATTAAAATTTTACATACACAAAAATATATATACATCACATTATTTATATAAAATATCTAAATTTAAAATTTTATTTTATATATATTTCTACAACAAAAAATTTTTTTTATAAAATTAATAACTTATATATAAAATATATTTATATACTTAAAAAATTCTAAAAATATTATTTTATATACTACACATATATATATTTATTTACATACACATTTTTATTTTATATATATACTTTTAAAAATATATATATTTTTATTACATAAACTTTTTATATAAAAAATTTTAAAATACAAAAATATTTATATTTTTATATACATAAAAATTTATTATTTAATTTAAAAATTTTTATACATAAATAATTTTATATAATCCATACAATTTTATATATTTTAACATAACATATATAAAATAATATACAAAACAAATATATATATACAAAACACATATATATATACTACACATATATATATAATTTTACATAAAAAAAAATATTAATTATATATTTTTTACATTTCACATATATTAAAATTAAAAACACATATATATTTTCATTTCACATTTTTTATATTATACAAACATTTTTAAAATATTTTATACATACACATATATATATTTTATATACATTTAAAAAAATATATATATATATATACATACAAAAAATTATAAATTTTTTTATTTTTTATTTCATACACATAATATATATATACATACAAAATATATATATAAACATACACATATATATATAAAATTTCAACACAAATTTTATAAATAACATTTAAAAATAATTTTTATATACATTTCACTTTTTAAAAAATATATATACTTACACATATATATTTTATACATTTCACATATTTTTATAAATATATTTTATTTCCCCTACACATAATATATATTTATTTTTTAAAAATTTTTTTAAAATAAAATACACATATATATTTTTTTAAACATTTAAAATATATATATATACATAACATATATATATTTTTCATACACATTATTTAAATAAAATTTCATTTCCCCATTTATTTTATACATAAACATATATATATACATAAAAATATAAATTACATACAATAAAAATAATATTTAAGGTTTCCCCAATTTTATATATAATACACATTTTATATAAAACAAAAACTTTTATTTATATATATACATTCACATTTTATATATATATATAATTTAAAAATTTATATTTTATATACAAAAACATTTATTTATATACCCTACCCCATATATATATATTTTAAAATATATACCTAACATATTTTTAAAAATTTATTATCCCCTAAAACCCTTAAAATATATATATATATATATTTTACCTAACCATATTTTTTATAATACACCTATATTATATAAAATTCACATATATATATATATAAACCACACATATATATATATATAACATAATTTTCACATTTTATATTTTACATAATTTAAAATATAATTTTATATATAATACCATATATATATATATATAAAACATAACATATATTATATATATATTCCATAAAATTTTTTTTATATACATACAAAAAATATATAAAATACATTTAAAAATTATTATAAAATATTATACATAAAATATATATAATTTTATAAAATACATAACATATATTATTAATATACATACCTTTTTATATATATTTTACATACACATATATATATATTTTTATACATACCAAAATATATAAATATATACCTACCCCAAAATATATATATATTTCTTTCACATTATTATTATACATACACATATTATATATATTTAAAACACAAAATATATATATATACTACAATTAAAAATATTAATATAAAAAAAACATATATATATTATATACACATATTATATATATACATATATATAAAATATATACATACACATATAAATTTATATATACATACCCCATTTTATATATTTTATATACATACAAAATATATATTACATACCATTATATATATATCATACACATAATTATTTTATATACTACAAAAAATATATATATTAAAATAAATATATCATATAAATTTCAAAAATTATTTTCATAAAAATTATATATACAATACAAAATATATATATAATACACATATATAAAATATATATACTACCCTAATATATAAAATTTTTTAAAATTTCCATATATTATATATATATATTTCATCAACCCTTAAAATATATATACATACCCAATATTAAAATATTACATTTCACAATAATATAAAATAATACCATTTTTATATATTATAATTTCCCAAAAAAATATATTTTATATAATACATACACATATATATATATATAATAACATATATTTAAACATAAAATACAATATATATATATATACATTTCACATATTTATATATACATACATAAAAATATATAAATTTTATACAAAAACATATAATATATATCATAACCCATATATTATATATAAAAAACATTTTATATATATTTTTCAAAACAATTTTGATATATATACATAAATACACATATATATTTAAAATTTTATTTAAAATTCATACACATATATTTATACATACCCCCAAAATTTATATATATAATACACACATATATATATATATACATTACAAAATTTTAAAAATATATAATTACACACATAATAAATATATAAACTTTCACAATATATAAAATATATTTCATACCCCCCCCCATATATAATATTATTTAAAACAATATATAAAATATTATACATTAAAACAAATATAATACTATATAGGGGTTTTGGGGATGTGTATGTTTTGGGATATTAATTATATATATATATGTGTATGTATATAATATATATATTTATATATATAATATATATTATATTTATATATTATTGTTTATATATTATATTATATATATTAATATATATTTATTTTAATTATATGTGTGTTTTGTTAAAATATATATATATATATATATTTTTTATATATATATATTATGTGTATGTATAATATTTTTATATATATTTATATATTTTATATTTTATATATAGTGTTTGTATATATATATATATATATATATATTTATATATATATGTGTATGTGTATATATATATATATGTGTGTATGTGTATATATATATATATATGTGTGTATTGTGTATATTATATATATATGTGTGTATGTGTTTTATATATATATATGTGTAAAATATATAATATATATGTGTATATATATTATATGTTATATATATATATATATGTATATTTATTTATATATGTGTATATATATGTGTATATATATTTTTATATATATATATTATATATATTATAAAATATATAAAATATATATAATATATATTATGTAATATATATATACATATATATATATATATGTGTGTATGTGTGTGGTTTATATATAATATATAATATATATATATATATATATATATATATATATACACACACATACACACACATATGTATATATATATATATATATATATATATATATACACACACATATATGTATGAAAAGGGTCCTTTACAGAAACACAAATCTGGTCACCATAGTTGAAGGAGACCGAAGCAAAGATACATAAAGCGTGTAAAATGTGTGTTGTTGTTTTTTTGGTCAAGTTAAATTAGTAGAAAAGCTGTTGGGGGGGCAAGGCACCAAGGCTGGTCTAACCCAGGGGCCCATTTCCCCCCCCTCAACAAGTTACAGCAAGTCGGCCCTCATTTGTCGTTTTAGCGAAAACGTTCCTTAAAAAACATCAACTTTCAAACTGCGCATTTAGTCCAGTTTCAACAGGCGAGCAACAGATAAAGGAAGGAGGAAAAACTCACCAATTAATCCTCCGACCATGAAGGAGAGCGCCTGGAACAAAAGCAGAGTAACTCCCACTATCACCAACTTTTTGGTGCTCATGTTCTCGATTATAGCCCCCGCCATTGTTAAACAAGCGTTTCGTTAAAAAGAAAAAAAAAAGGAATAAAAAAAAAAACAAACAGACTGAGTGAGAAACAGATTCACGGAGGGGAAAAAAAGGAGGAGAAAACGCTGCATCCACAGCGAGCAGGAAAGACGGGCTGATCTAGGCTGATGTGGGCCCCTCCACCGCTCTCTGCTCCTGCCTTCACACTCAGGAGGAGGGAAAAAAAGCAGGAATCACATGACTGAATAGCGCCGTGCTTTATAACCAAACAGCCAACACACACACACTAGACCAGGGGAGGATCAGTGGAGCGCCTCCGCATTGCAATAGAGGCTGGAAATGCAGGTTAGGTGCTGCCAGATGCCTGGAATAGCGCCCCCGCTGTTCGAGGCTATTTAAAGGAGGCTCTGAGGGGCCCCATCCCACGATGGGGACATTTTAAATATGTGAAAATAACTTTAGACTTTACAGAAGGGGATTAGGGCCACTAAAAAAAAAAAAAAAACAGTGAACTGATTTTTACATTTCATTTCAGCTAAATATGAGAAAAAAGTCAGAATTCTGACTTTAATCTCAGAATTCTGACAGCTAACAAACATGTTAGCATCAATCCGTAGCCATGTCTGTTTTAGAGACTACCGTAAATCATCTAATATTTACGGAGCCCCCTAGGGGACATGGGGAATTTTTTTTCGTTTGCGTTACCTCTCAAAACCTTTTGCGAAAGTTTTGCGTTCCCACGCAAAACCTTTTGCGTGAGAACGCAAAACCTTACTTCGGTAAAGTTAAAAAGATATTCACAGATTCTAACTTCTGGGATCAATAACTCTCGTTGTTGAAAACACAAATGACGCATCTTTCATGTCCTGATAGCACAGACTACGTATTTCAAGAATCAAAAAGCGTTATTTTCGAGAAAAAAGAGCCGTTCTCCGAGCTGGAAGTATTACATTAATCTCTATGCACAGGCAGCGGCCAGGCGAGTGGTTAGGGACCGTATGCAAATGGTAAAACAACAGCAAAACGTTGCAAATAAAAATCAATAACTCCACTTTGGAGTTTGGAAAAATACACCTTTACTTTTTTTAATTTTATTTTTGTTATTATTAACCATTAATATTTTGCGTGGAAACGCAAAACTTTCGCAAAAGGTTTTGCGAGGTAACGCAAAATTTTGCGAGGTAACGCAATACTTTTGCGAGGGAACGCAAAAAAAAAAAAAAGATTCCTCATGTCCCCTAGGGGGCTCCGTAAATATTGGCCTTTATTCCATTAGCAGCCGGGTCTCTAATAATGGCCGGTCTCACTGTCAGCAGAGATAAATAATGGCCGGACTTGTATACAGGCAGGGGCTATAATTAGAACCAACGATGTTTCTGGGCGGCTTGTTTTGTTTTTATGACCGAAATTGCGGAAACAACTTGTGACCAGCTAGAAGAGAGAGGTGCGCAAGAACTCTGGGACCCTTTTTCCACCTGGCAGTATCTAGACCCACAGCGTATAGCGCAGACTACGCTTCAACGTTAAGCATAAATCAAAAATGTCTGCATCAAGCTCACTGCGACACACGGCTGGGAGGATAACCAGCCACACAAACGTTCCGATCTGAAAGACACATGTGATTACCAGTATGTGTGGTTGTAACCATGCAGCGTTGAAATGACGGAATTTCGTTGGCCTTCGTTGGTCTGAATTTCCCAATATTAGAGGATTTCCGGTAAACTAGATCTCTTGTTTTACCGTAAATGTTCTAATATTGGCTGTCATGGTCTTGGTTCTGTTGTACTTTACTTTGCTCCTTGTTTTCTAGTTTTATTGGTTTAATTACAGTTTTGTTGTAATTTCTAGATTTATGTTCTCATGTTTTTCTGTTGTCCTCTGTTGTAGAGTCCTGCACGGGTCGAGTTTTACCAACCCGCACCTGCCCGAACCCGTTAGGATGACTACCGAACCCGACCCGTCACCCGATTTTAATTGTTTTTTTAATAATTTGGTAAGATTAATTCAATTAAATTCACCATTGATGAATATAGGTTTACAAATTAATTGTAATAACAAATTCACAAATTAAATAAAAATGTGTAAATTTGAAGTAAAGGCATTGTCATTTTACAATTTGAAGTACATTTTACATAAAATCTAAGGTAGTATTTACAAGTCACTTTTTTTCTAACGAGCAAACAGCAAAATTCATAATATCTCTTTCTAGCAAGATGTGATCATGTCTTGTTAAGTTGTTCTTGAATGAAATAATTTTAAACATGTCAGTTAAAATTGTATATATATATATATATTTTGACTCTCACAGCTTTGTTAAGGATCATGATGTAAAAACACTAATTTTTCATCAGATGAACTTATTTTTGCATGAAGGAATCTGTCGTCCTTCTTCTGGGACAGACGTTGCAGGAACCGATTTTTTAGTCGTAGATAAATAGTTGGGTTAAGGTTATTTTTGTTACTTCTTTACTCTGTCACTTGTATCTGGTGTGCTTCATTTTTCAAAGGCAGGTTGAAAGAATCATGAAGGAGAAGCCGCTTTTAAATTTTGTTTTGTTTTGATTGTGTAATCATTTTCACATCTTAATTCACGCGGCCCAAGTCCTTGTTGTCATGATTTTATCCAAAGATCTGACCCACATGCAGAAAACCAAACAGAGAAACCAGGGGAAGGTTTAACAGGTTTATTGTGAGTTGGTAGACAGGAGTCCAGTGCTGCTCTGAACACTGGCGAACCGGGACTGAAAAGTGAAGGGAAAGATTCTGCGGTTACTTCAGGCTCAGTGGGAAATTTGTGTCTTTGATTTGAAAAAGGGAATAAAGGCAAAAGGACTCACGCTTCCAGAAAAAGCTGTCTTTCTTTGAATCCAGTCGGTGAGGGTTGTTCCAGTAATAGACTTGCTCGTTGGAGGGCGGAAACGGTTTAACCAGGTAGAGGTGTTTACTTGAGGAACGGAGGAGCTGACTGCCACTTAGATTTCCTGCTGTACTTGAACGGTACTTGTGGAGATGATGAATCCCTTGCTCAGTGTGAAGCTCAAACAATCCTTGGGGAAAAGTAGATTCAAACCACCAGTTTGAATCCCCAGCTCAAATTGACGTTCAGAGAATCCTTCCAGGGGGGAGAAGGTCCAAAACATCCAGTTTGCAGGATGACTTCCTGCCGAGAGGCAAAGACAAAAAACAACAAGGTTAAGACTCAGGTGGCAAAACCTCAGTTTGACTCAGCAAAACTCAGCTTGGCTAGAGTACCCAAAACTGGCAAACACTCTGGCGTCGAGGTAGTGACAGTCAGCAGCTTAAGAGTCCTCCGGTAATGAGGCAACCATCCGCAGGTGTGTGAGGAGACCAATGAGAACCAGGCGCCACCTGCTGGTGGAGGAAAACAAACACAACCCACACAAACTGGATTCCTAACACTTGCATTCCTGAACGTGATCAACATTAAAACGAAATTAGAAACACATAAGTCTAGAAAGAGACTTTATCACTTTAATCTCTCATGTTAGAAAAAAATGGCCCAGATCAGCCATGAGTCTTTTACAGATTGGTACAACATGCATGCAGCCAGTGTCCAAGAACCACAATCTTTGGGATAACTCCAGGGGCGGATTTAGGACATTTTTGGCCCTAGGCAAAGAATGGAGAAGACAACACATCAAACAGACCCATTCTACAGATAGAGAAATGTTAATAGAATAGACATCCATTATCTGTTCTAGGTTGTGTCCCTCTCTTCTTGTCCCTTTTCTTCTTGTTTTCCTCTCTATGTTTTGTACTCAGCTGACTTTTCATGCTGTCTCTAAAGGAATGAAAGATTTTTTCCAAGCACTAAGCTCACTTAGCTGATTGCTCCTTCCTGTGTTTCCAAAAAGGCCAAAGTAAATAACCCAGTCCTTCTTTTCACTGTAGACAAGCCATGATCTGCTTATCTGTTCTCCATTTTTCATTTGGATGAAATAATAGCTGCATGAATCATGACAGCAGACAAGATAGAGCCAAAGCTCAAAGGTAGGCAGCAGCTTGACAAAGCCTTGATGGCAATTATTTTACATCCAAGTAGTCTGCAGATTCTTCAGATATACACACACATCAATTTCAAACAGATGGTATCGGTATCAGCCAATACTGCACAGCCAGGTATCGGTTATTGGTATTGCGGGCAAAAAAGGCCATCGGTTCCAGGCGCGCTGGAAGCTGTTTCAAGCGAGGGGGGCTGATGGCTGGGTTGGAAAACACGTGACGTCCTTATGTTGAGGGCTGTGGCTGACGTTTTTAACATAATATTGTAGGCCTACATTTGTCGCCAAAAACTGCCATTTAAAATGCATCGGAACAAAGCATGAACATTTTAAACTTTATTTCTTCTCTTTTAATCATTCAAAACGAACAACAGCTTCCCAGTCAAGAGGATCAGGAATACTTGAATGAAACATGGCCTAAATTTAGCCTAAACTGAGCATTGAACGTCTTGAAAGTCCATTCGACTATGGATATGGGAAATGATTTCATATCTGAACAAAAAACACACACAAAAAAAAATTAACTAATTTCATATTTTATCACTAAATAGCTTAATACAGACATAAAATTTAGTGATATGCAGCCTTATTCTAGCGTAGACTTCTTCAGCCACAGAACCAAGACGAATAGGCACATAAATAACGCTAAATGCGGCAGTATAGGGGAATTAAAACCATTTCTTACCTCGAAATATTTAGAAATACGTTTCTGCTGCCTATTGCTAGCCATGCCTAAACGAATGTGAAGCTTCCGGGGGAGTAGCCTAGTGTTTTATGAAATATTAAAATAATGAATCATTAGTTTATATCTTATACACAGCCTATCATTTTAATCCCATATCAAACACAGTCTTTTAAAAATAAATACATAAATAATTTCATGTTTTTAAGTACAATATTATGTTACTCCACAGCCCCCCACCATGGGGGGCTGATGCTATGACGAGGGAGGCTGCAGCCCCCGCAGCACCCCCCTTCCCGTGCCACTGATCGGTTCTTAATTATTCACAAAGCTTTTAAACACTTACCTTTAGCATAAAATGGGAATCCAAGCACAGACCCAAGCTCAGATTATCTAATGAAAGTAAGTGTCCAGGAAACACAGAGCCAGACAGACAAGCTCAGAGCCAGCTCCCATGTCAGAGGATGAAGAGAGCACATCCAGTTAGTCACAGTCAGAGAAACAGGACTACACTGGAAAACAGGCCAAGCTCCAACATCTAGAAACAAAGGTGTTGATGGCAGCAGCACAGCTGATATTTCTCTCCAGGATGGAGTCACACCCAAACAGGAACAGACCAGATGAAGCTACTATGAGAAAAAGCAGAGAGAGCAGAACGTTAGAGATTGAACTAACAGATTCTACAGAGTGGGAGAATAGAGATAGAATGAAGCAGAATGATGAAAAAGGGGTCCCTATGTCCTCCAGCAGTCTAAGCCTATAGCAGCAGAACTATAGAGATAGCTCAGGATAACCTGAGCCACTCTAACTAGAAGCTTTATAGTTATAAGCTTTGGCAATTCTATTCTGGATTTAACAGGAAGCCAATGAAGAGAAGCCAGGATAGAAGAGATACGATCTCTCTTTTTCATTTTCATCAGAACTCTGGCTGCAGCATTTTGGATCAGCTGAAGGCTTTTAACTACAGTTTGTGGACTTCCTGATAGTAAAGAATTACAATAGTCCAGCCTTGAAGTAACAAATGCATGGACTAGTTTCTCAGCATCACCCCGCGACAGGAGATTTCTCATTTTTATATGTGAGAACGAGGATGTTGGAGCTTGGCCTGTTTTCCAGTGTGGTCCTGTTTCTCTGACTGTGACCAACTGGATGTGCTCTCTTCATCCTCTGACATGGGAGCTGGCTCGGAGCTCGTCTGCCTGGCTGTGTGTTTCCTGGACGGGGCCGCCTGTGGAGCTGGTTGACAGTTGCCTTTTGTATCTATGCTTCTTTTTCTATGTCTGCTTCTGTCTCCTTGAACCCCAGTGGGCCTCAGCAGATGGCTGCTCACACTGAGCCTGGTTCTGCTGGAGGTTTCTTCCTGTTCAAAAGGAGTTTTTCCTCTCCACTGTCGCTACAAGCATGCTTAGTGTGAGGAATTGCTGAAGAGTCAATGAGTCGATGCAATCGGCGGAAAACTTGGACCAATCTGACTGGATGATCTGGTTGAATTGTGACCTGAGATGACATGTTGTTATTTGGCGCTATATAAATAAACTGAATTAATTTGAATACATTTTGCAATATTCCGGAGATAAAAGAAGGAAATTGTAGAAAACTCTTATATATGGGATTTTAATGACAGATCCTGATCAAGAATAAAGAAATATAACGTATTAAAATCTGGATTCTGTTCAGGGCACTCATTCTTGGGGCTCCTTAATAGCAGCTTATCATATGTTTGATAATTGCCAATATTGACACATCTTGGCCAATACTCCACAAAGATTAGCTATATTTTCTTACTTTTTATTGTTTTAATATATTTATATAAGACATGGGATCAGAGTTGTACCAACTTCCTCTCTAATGGAACATCTTTGTATGAGAAGGCTCACTGTAAACAGCTGAGGCTTCAGCTTCTTTGTCCTTCTCTGTAGAGCTTTAGGTGGAGACATTTCAGTTGGCTGCTACAGATGTCTCCATGACAGCGGTAGACAGGCCTGTGCAGAGGATAAATCTAGCCTGTAGGCAATCATCACTCTCTAAACCTGTCCTTCACAGACATATGTCCTGCCAGGGTCTGCCACTACCTGACTGGCAGACAAGAGTTTTTGTCCTGCAGTACAATTAAAAGATGTTGTCATGAAGCCGAGGTCAGATGGACCCAGTATTCAAGGCGAGACAGTCAGTAGGAAAGTTCAAAAAAGGTTTATTAAACAAAAACTAAGGTGGAGCTGCGGCTCGCGGATACTGCAGGCAGGAGGGGGGGGCACCGCCCAATCTCAGACATTCTGTAGTGGGAGAAACACAGGTAAGTGACCGCGATCATCTGACTGAAAATGATGTTCTCAGTGAGTCACTTACCTGGTTTAGCAGTCCAGACCAAGAATGTCCCAGTGCTGCAGTTCCAGAGGACGTGCTGAAAGCCGGTCCTGGTCAGGGATCCAGAACAGATAGAAACAGAAACAGGTGGCAGGATCCAGACTTCCAGGCATCCACAGGCTTCTAGGAGGGTTCAGAGTCTGACTGGGACCAGAAGCGTGACCAGGTGGTCACGCACAGGAGCAGACAGGAACAGGTGCAGACAGGCAGGCTCAGTGGAAGAGGGTAGCCGAGACAGGACGTGGAACCAGAACTTGAAGCAGGACTTTAAACTGGTTTTCTCCTGGAGCCAGGCTTACTCAGATAAAAACTGAACCTCCCCCCATAATGAGCCAAAAACCCAGAGGACTCCGCGGGGGAGGAACAGTGGACGATCAGGAGACGAGACAAACACAAAACCCTCTTTCCACTGGCAGCTAGGATCCAGGACATGAACCAAATAAAACTGAACAGAAAGACTGACAGAAAGACAAGCAATGATCTGGCCCTGAATGCTCAGGCTGAACTGAATATAAACCAGAGGAAACAGGTGAGAGGAATAAATTATAATTGAGGCAGGGAGGGAAAAACGACAGGTGAAAGGAATGACAAATTAAGGAGCAAACAGGCCAGATCATGACAGATGTTCATATTAATTCTAATAGTAATAATAAATGCAGCCAGAGTTCTGATGAAAATCATATTTCTCCTATCTTTGCTTCCCTTTATTGGCATCTCGTTAAATCCAGTACATAATTAAAAATCCTCATTCTCATTAATTAAGCCATAAATAACAAAGCTCCATCTGATATCAGAGATCTGATTGTTCCTGATGTTCCTAACAGAGCACTTCGCTCTCAATCCGCAGGTTTACTAGTGGTTCCTAGAATTTCTAAAAGTAGAATGGGAGGCAGGTCTTTTAGTTATCAGGCTCCTCTCCTGTGGAACCAACTACCAGTTTTAGTCCGCGAGGCAGACACCCTGTCTACTTTTAAGGTGTGGTCAGAAAATTTAGATTTCTTTTATTTCATATACTAATTCATACTATTTACTCACTATAAAAGTTTATCCTGCAAGGCCACACAATTCTCCTGGGGTGAATAGTTGAACACCTTTTTCCCACCACAAAGGGTGGGCTTAGAACTTTCCTTTTTGATAAAGCTTATAGTTAGAGTGGCTCAGGTTATCCTGAGCCACTCTATAGTTTGTCCTCTATAGCAGGCATCCACAACCTCGGTCCTGGAGGCCGCCTGTCCTGCAGGTTTAAGAGGTTTCCCTGCTTTAGCACAGCTGATTATAATGATTGCAGTAGACCAAAAGCCTGTTAATCAGCTTTCAATTAAAATCAGCTGTGCTGGAGCAAGGAAACCTCTAAAACCTGCAGGACAGCGGGCCTCCAGGACCGAGGGTGGGGGATGCCTGCTCTATAGCCTTAGGCTGATGGAGGACATAGGGACCCCTTTTCATCTTTCTGCTTCATTTTATCTCTATTTCCTCTTCTGCAGTATTTGTTGGTTTAACCTCTAAATTTATATTTCCTTTGCTTTTTCCTCATCATAGTAGCTTAATCTGAACTATTCCTGTTTGGTTGTGACAGCATCTCAGAGAGAAATAGCAGCTGGGCTATTGCCATTAACACCTTTGGTTAGAGATGATAAATTTGGGCCTGTTTTTCAGTGATATTCCTGTATCTATTGTAGACAAAGTTTGTGTCTATAACACGAAAAACGTAAATATAATTTCAAAGTATATGAATGCTTTTAGCAAGTGTCTATTAAAAATGGAAATGATTGTAAAAAAACAAACAAAAAAACAATGTGCCTCTTAACAACCTTCTTCTTCTTCTTTTTTCTTTTATCATGATTTAATATTAATTCCAAAGTTAAAATACAATCCACTGGACTTACAAACCACTGAAAAGACGTTTCTCTTCCATCCAGGAAGCTTTTTCAATTCAAAATGTCAGAAATAGTGTTGAGTTCCAGGCCTTATAGAGGGGACTAACAAAGCCTTGTTTTTGATGAACGGGTCCACCCCTTTGGTATGGGGGTCATTTGGCTTCTTTTGTGTTTTTTAGCTTTTTTGGAATGACCTGGATGACTGAGAATCTTCCCCAGCACATGATTTAATAGCTTCAGATGATTTTGGTTGATTCTTAGCACATTCATTTAAAAACACCCCCTATAAAGTAGATAAACTTTGCTCATCTAAGCCTTTTAAAAATAAAGTGAATATTTTATATTCGTTTACTGCTCAGTTTCTAAAATGGCTATAAAAAACATGCGATCTTTTCCCTATTCCTCTGCACCTTCTCTTTTTCAGAGGGAATCTGATGACCTGTACATTTCAGGGCAGATATTTGTTTTTCCCATGATCATAACACAAGCTTAAATTTCACATCCTTGTCACGTTTTGGTTGGTTTGAGGACCCAAAATGCCAAACCAAACACAAGGAGCCAGGGAGAGACGAGGTAGGAAGACAACAACATGAGAAGCCAGCAAAGACAAGGAACCAACAAGGAGAGACAGCAGAGGGAGAGAATATATAGCTGACTGAGACAAAGGCAGGGCTAACGAGCTGATGAGGAGCAGGTGTGAGAGGAGACAACAAGGGAGCCAAGGGGAAAGGAACACACACAAGAAGACAACAGAAGACAACAGAAAAACCTGAGAACTAACATAAATCTAGAAACTACAACAAAACAGGAATTAAACCAATAGAACTAGGAAACATGGAGCAAAGTAAAGCGCAACAGAACCAAAACCATGACAATCCTTAAATAAAGGATCAAAGACCAAAAGCTTTAAACTAAAAAGTTTTATTTAAAAGCCATTCACATGAATATATCAGGGTGATTTAAAAAGCCATGAAGACAAATATTCCGTCTACAGATCTTACAGAGCATGTTTTAAATTTAACAAGCAGAAAAGTCAACAACAAAGAGTAGGATGTAATTCATGGAATATGTTCTGTTTAACTAAACATGATGCAAAAAGAAATAACAGGTAATGGAGATGGTTTCGCTACTAGTTTATAAACCGAAGAATAAAGCGCTAAGAGATAGAAACAGGACAGACTGTTTATATTTTATTCAGGTTCTTCCTGACAATCCAAAGGCAAGAAGCCCAAACTGAGAGATGAATGAACCATAGTGGAGCTATTCAACCTCATAAATGTAATAACATTGGTATTGGCACTTAGGTATTTGATTAAAGCAGGAATTATACTGTAATGTAGAGAGCTGATAGAAAAAAGGGCAGAGTGCAGAGGATAAGGCTGGGGTTTTGTGTTCAGAAGCGGGCGCGGATTCTATCCAGTGGATCCTTGTCCCACATCTTGGCATCCCAGGCCTGGAACCAACCTGTGAAAGTGGGAGGCTCTGCGCCCTGCTTGATGGTGGTGATGGGCAGCCCTTTGCGACCAGACGGGTCTGAGTCCACGTAGTCTTTGGCTGTGTGACGAAAAGTGAAAGAAAGAGATAGTTTCGTTCATTAAGGATGAAACTAACAGCGAGTCCAAAAGGGATCTTTATTTACATAAAACTGATTATTATTTACACCGAAAATACAGGCAGTAGGAGGTAAACCATCCTTCCCTGTGAAACACGGACCAAAAACAAAACATTTAATGTGTCTCTGGTCAAACTGAATGTTAGCGCCCTCGTAGATTAAAAAAGGGTATATATTTTTGCCAAAACAAATGAAATTAATTTCAATATAAAAAATAAAAAACTCAGACGTCGAAAATGCAAATTTTGTGTTTTTTACGGCACTAGTGGCTTGTTTTTTTGGACAGGAGGCTGTATGAAAGATGGGGAGAGACATACAACAAAGGACCACAGGTTGGATTTGAACCCAGGTGGGCCTCCATACATGGGTCATGTGTGCTAACCGCTGTGCCACCAAAGCACACCCAAAGTTGCACATTTTTTTTAAATTTCCATGATTAGAGGTAAATATATGGTGGCCCTGAAGTGCAAACTGCAACTACAAATCTAAAAGCGCAACTACATTAAGGAAATCGCAACTACATAAAGCAAAGCGCAACTACATTAAGAAAACAAAACTACATAAAGCGCCGTTTGACCCTTGAACCGGAAGTCATTCTGCCTGCTGCGGCTTTTGAAAACATGGATATTGTCGGCGCCCCAAACATAGCTGCCGTTATCCAGGAATATTTTGAATCAGGACATACGTACGAGGCGATACTGGATATGCTCAAGACTAATCACGAAAGTTTAGTTAGTTTGCGTACACTGAAGACACACTTAAAAGAAGCTGGACTGTTCAGACGACGCAACTTCCGGTTCAAGGGTCAAACGGCGCCGTCGTCCAATCAGCGATGTCTGATGTTTCCCACTGGTACCTACCTTTTCCGGTAGGTTCATGTAATTGTGTTTTCCTTAATGTAGTTGCGCTTTGCTTTATGTAGTTTTGTTTTTCTTAAAGTAGTTGCGCTTTTAGATTTGTAGTTGCAGTTTGCACTTCAGGGCCACCGTACAAATATTTCTAACATTTAAAAAAAAGGTTTCCTGACATTGTAAAGAATGATATTTGGGGTTTGCGATTCCAGGCCCGGGGTCTCTCTCCATGGGAGTTTGCATGTTCTCCCTGAGCATGTGTCGGTTCTCTCCGGATACTCCAGCGTCCTCCCAAAGTCTGAAATCTTTCTCCCCCAGGAACTTGGGGCCCTAGGCAACTGCCTAGTATTGCCCAATGGTAAATCCCTCGCTGGCTGTAAGATAATGTACTTGACACGTTTTATTCATTTTGTTTAAGCTGGGATTACATGTGTTTCGTTTTTCAAAAACATGGAAAGGATGCCATTTGTGCCTTTGTGGAAGATGTTGAAGATGCACATTCCTCCATACTGGATTTGGCAAAAGTTTGATTTATCAGTTAACTCAGCTAATTGTGTAGCAAATCAAGAATGTGATGTGTCACATTTGGTACTGCATCTACACTTAGCTAAATGTTCAATGTGGGAAGCAGGTGCCACTTGGTGATTTTACCCAATCAGCTCTAAGCATTCCATTGAATGAAATCCCTCCCTTTTGCGAAAACTTTTCACAGGAGTCTATCCGGATGGATACACGTATAAATGTTCTTATGATCTTATGATCTTATGCCAGATCAGTGCCAATACTTCATGTCACGCAATAGATTGTAGGCAACCATTTAGCTCCCAGCGGTGGCTAGTGATGGCAATTTCAAAGCCCCGTGAACAAATGAACTATTTTGACACAATTGGACAAAACTTGACACCATGTTTGATACATTCGATACAGTTAAGAATGGCGGCATCTGCTGGATGCTATCAGAACTACAACTGAGCAGGTATCCTAATGTCTGCATAATTTCATGCTTGAACTTGTTTGTTGCATAATAATGGTGTTAATAAATATTCTAGAAATAAATAAGAAAACTAATGTCTGACCTGTGCCCCATTATTATCAGGTTTTAAGTTCGGATCCAACCCGTTTCCACTTAGGATACCTCTCGGCATGTGTGACCTAATATTTGAGTAGGCTGGACCTACAACTATATAAACACGTCAATAAATTATCCTTTAAATAGTTACTTCTACTGTTTTCTTCATTGTCTACTGTGGTGTATATATATATATATATATATATATATATATATATATATATATATATATATATATATATATATATATATATATATATTGTATATATGGTATCTGTATCGGCGAGTACCAACAAATACGGCATTGATACCATTTTGAGAGCCAAAAGTTTATTCAACTATTGTCACCCATTCTAGGTAGGCAAAAAAACCTAGCCCAATGCCTATGCTGTAGTCTGTGCATATAATCTGTTATAGTCTATGTTTCAAATTTACCAAGGAATCGCCAAGATGAGGATTGCATATTGTCGGATAGAAAGTGGGATAAAATATCATAGAAACATGAACTAACTATACTTAACAATACAGAGTGGTTTTATATAAAGTGATTGTTATGGTAAGAGCCTGGTTTTGAAAATGGATCGTTTATATTCTATTATCTCATTTGCAGTGGGATGCAAAATGACCTTTTCTTAATGTAGTCTAGTAAAACAAATCCCAAAATTTAGAAAATTTCTATAAAAAAAATAATAAATTCCTGTCTTAAAATCTGTGTTGTTTTTTTTTCGTTATCTTCTGCAGGCCAGTTAGTTCTACGTCAGCCTGAACACCTTAATTCGGCCAATCATATATCAATGCTTATCTGTCAATCAAATGTGGGGGGAGTAATTAACCAGCGCTCTCCCCCATCCTCCTCCATGACTGAGGTACCCTGAGCATGGTACCGTCCCGCCACACTGCTCCCTTGGGGCGCCATTGAGGGCTGCACGGGTGAGGCATAAATGCAATTTCATGGTGTGCAGTGTTCACTTGTGTGTCACAATGACAATGGGAGTTGGAGGAGTTTCCCAAAGGGCTTTCACGCTTTCACAATCTTGATTCATGTCGCAGCTAATATACGCAACGGTTGAAATCAGAATCCTTTCCTTTCCCATTGAGTTGCGTCCCAGTGTTCACGGGGATGGACGTCTGTGTCTTCAGCAGGCGTAGAGCTAATAGAACTGCGAGGCAAGGGCTCAAACATGTACGGCTGGAAGCCTTCTACACCAAACCAAGCTTCTGCCGCCCTGGCGTCCTCTTCCACAACATCTTCGCTTTCCTCCTCTAAATAAAAAATGGATGACGGAGGAGACTCATCCACGACCTCCGACACTAAACTCTCCTCCTCTTGCATGTTTCCGCTGTCCATAGCGTTCCTTGACAGCGTCGTTTCTAAGTCACCAATTTAGTGCTACTTGGTCCCAATGGAATTTCCCATTGGGAACCTGCTAGCACTAAGCTGCTAACTGGTTAGCAAGATGCTTCAGACAAACCGGCCACAACCAAACTTGCTTGCAAACCTTCCGCCACAACAATCCCGCCCCTTTGACAATCGACCAATCACATTTACTTTATTCACTCGTGTAAAGTCGGGCACCATCTGGGGAGAATTCGGAAATGCAACGGTTGGAACGGCCGCTTTCCTACGCCTTAAAAAATGTTTAAAGCCCAAATTACTTAAACGAAACACATTTAAAGATCCCCTCAGTTTTTGCGTCAATCTTCACACCTTTTAGCGTTACCAACCTATTTTGGGCGCTGCGTTCTTTTCCTCGTCGTTGGCCTCATTGCCGACCCAAAGGAAGAGCTGCAGAAGGGAAAGAGACACATTCAGTCAATATGGTACCGTAGCACCAGGTTTGAGGCTCCAGTCAGAGCCAGCAGAGCTCTAAATTCTGAAATGAGCGTTTGGGTGAAAATAAAAACACTAATCTTACCTGATCCCAAGCATCCAGGATCATGACGTCATCAGTGGCCAGATCTGACTGTGTGAAGTCTCCTGGTACCTCTTCCACCTGAACAACAGCGTAAAGTCAGGCTGGCAGCTTTTAAGTCTGCTGCTTTTTACAGCCACATTATAATAAATAAAGAAATTCTGACATGACTGCATTCGACTTACGATGAGTCTTCCTGTTTTGTTGGAGCAACCGAACAAACGAGGAGGTCTGGCTGTGCCCTGCAGGCTCTTTGAGGTCTGGTACTCCTTTTTGCCGCCCAGAACTGACCAGAAATCAGCTGAGGAGGAAAAAAACATTTAACCTTTAGCTAAAAGATGCTAACAGACACAGGGAGACTTTTTTTCTACAGCAGATCTAATAGAGTGGTTTAGGTTAGAATGGAACGTGGAATTAAACAGTGCTGCCCCACCCCCACTTGTTGCTGTGCACTGCCTGTCAGCTCTCTAGTGGTGGCCTAGTGGTTGGGGTGGAAGTTTTCAATAGGGGGTTCAAGACCCCTAGGGGATCTACAGAGGTACTGAATTGGGATCGCAAAACTTTTGGGTGATTAGACTTTTTTTAATAGTAAACCCTGCAATTTTTTCCACTATTTGAAATGTATTTAAATCCACATTAACATGAATTCAACAGACTAGTAAACAGATAAATGGAGGCAGAAGATGTCTTTCAGTCATCAATGCTCACATTCAGCGACACACAGGAGCTCTTTCAAGCTGGGCAGCGTTTCATTCACAACACCTGTTCCATCAACCAGGAATCAGAAATACTTTAATAATCCCAGGGAGGGATTACTTTAGTTACATTACTCCATCTGTAATAGAGGGACTATAGGAGCAGTTTGATATAACACTATTTCATACAATATATATAATTAGGGGGTCCCTGTTCCATCTCGCCATCAGTTTGGGGTCCTTGGCCTGGAAAACTTTGAAGACTCCTGGGTTAGTAACCTGACTCCGCCAGATGGATTTGCTCCGCATATCCATCTGGAAACCTTCCGTTGAAGTAATTTTGGGAAGGGGCGAAAATCCTGGTTAGCTGATTGGCCTATGTTGGTGATAGACGGGCCAAATAAACCAAGCAGATCAACGAAGCATGTGACGTACTAACAGAGCGACGATGAAAACAGAACCACAAGCCAGGCTACTCTTGCCGAAACCAGTCGGGAGAAGAGCAAAAACATCTTTTCCTCTGAGAAAAGCCTCCAGAGCAGTGTTTTGCTCTTCTTTCAGTGAAGAAATACTCTGTAATTCCGATAAAACTTGCTCGATAGCCACACTAATGCTAGTTTCATCGGCTGAAGCCGCCATGTTCTTTAGACTGAACTGTCGCGCTTCTCGTTGCGTCACACCTCAACCCGCCTCAAAGCCAACGCTGATTGGACGTTCGTTTGGTGAACGGCTCCAGATTTTCTTTAACGGAGAGTCTCCAGACTGATCTGCGAGTGAAACCTTGAAAGCTCGCGAGATCAGGATGGTCTCACGAGGCTACTGGGTTAGGACATTGCACAATTCAAGCCCCACTCCCACAGACTGCCACTCTGGCTCCCTGATCAAAGACCCTTAACCCCAAACTGCTCCCTGGGCTCCACACTATGGCAGCCCACTGCTCCATGTGGAGTAAAGATGTTGAGATATGTTTGTTCTTAGCCTCACAGGCTCCAAACGAAGGTCATGAGAGATAAGAATGAGTCACAAAGCCTCCTTCATGGCATGAAGGTGAGGACTGCTGTTATTAGGAGATCCATCTGACCAGTGAGAGATAGATTAACCCTACAGGGAATGGCCTTGATGAACTTAAGTTGTTTTTCCTAAAAATGAGGGAGAAAGTTCTTTATGCAGGGGGTGGGTTAGTTCCCCTGGGGGGAGTGTGTTTGGGATTTCTGTAAGGTATAAATAAATGTACTGAGGTTTCCTCAGTCACAGCTCTATCTCTCCGTCGGAGGATGTAAAATAAATATGAAACTTATTTCCTGCAAGAAATGCTTCTGTCTCAGCTTCTTAACTCCACATCCCCAATGGGATGGGTTAAATGCAGAGAGGTAATTTCGTTGCTCTGTACTTGTGACAATGTAATAACAATAAGAGCTAAAAAAACAAATGTTTTCTTTACTTTAGAGAAAGAAGCATTAGACCATCTTGTAAACCTTCCTCTTTTTCTCCGCATGCATTAAAAATGAGACCCACCTGGCTCCTTGCCCTCTGAGACATTGTTGGGACTGCCGCCCAAAAAGCCAACAACGTGCTTGGCCGCGTTCATCTCCTCCTCGCTGGCTCCCACGCCGCGCCACACAAACAGGCCTTTGGGGGATTTCAGCACGAACACGTCGTTGGTGTTCAGATTGGAAGCCGAGGCCTCGACCTGATTGGAACAGAGTTAGAAAACTAAGACTGAGCTTCCCCGCATGTGACCGTAAACACTGTGATTGGAAAATTTATATTTCTCTTATTTCATATATTTATTACGCTATTTACTCACTGAAAACGTTTGTCTGTGAGGGGTGTTTGTAGAAAAGACACTTCTTCCCATAACAAACCAGATTCTTTCTCAAGGTTTATTTATAACATGTTACTGTTTAACCAAAATGTCTGTAATTTGTTTTGACTCTGACTTCTTTCCATTGTTGTAAGTAAGGAGGAACGAACGCTGCCCAGGCAGAACAGGGCTGATTACCGAGCAATCAGGGCTTTATGATGAACTGTTCTCGCTTTACAAAGATAAAATAAATTGAGTAAAATCCATCGATCTCCGTTTATTTAACTGGAGTAAATAGTTGGATACTTTTTTCCCACTACAACACCTGTAAACAAACTCACCTCTACAGCACGGGTGGCGCCGGAAGAGCTCTGACGGATGTGGAAGAGACGGGTGCTGCCAGGCTGAGACTGCCCACCTTTACGAGAAGTTCCCCCACTGTGGATGATCATGGGTTTGCCCTGGAAGAGGCTCATCAGGTGGGGAGGCTCCTGACCCTGAGTCACTCTCACCTGTGGATAGGGGGGGGCGAGCTGATTTAAAATCCTTCTCCAAATTAACCCTTTATAGGGGACTCAGTGAAATACAAGACATTTTTACCTTCAAAACATTAAAAAAATATGGATATTCTGAGGGCAAAAATGAAAAAACAAAAAACAAAAGTACGGAGCCCCTAAAGGGACATGGAGGGGAAAAAAACAACTTTTGCGAGATCCTGCAATACTTTTGCTAGATCTCGCAATACTTTTGCAAGATCCCGCAATACTTTTGGGAGATCCTGCAATACTTTTGCGAGATCCCGCAATACTTTTGCGAGATCCCGCAATACTTTTGCGAGATCCTGCAATACTTTTGCGAGATCCCCCAATACTTTTGCGACATCTGGCAATACTATTGCGAGATCCCGCAATACTTTTGCTAGATCCTGCAATACTTTTGCGAGATCCAGCAATACTTTTGCGAGATCCCCCAATACTTTTGCGAAATCTGGCAATACTATTGCGAGATCCCGCAATACTTTTGCGAGCTCCTGCAATACTTTTGGGAGATCTAGCAATACTTTTGCGAGATCCTGCAATACTTTTGCGAGATCCCCCAATACTTTTGCAAGATCCTGCAATACTTTTGCGAGATCTCGCAATTGTTTTGCAAGATCCCGCAATACTTTTGCAAGATCTCGCAATTCTTTTGCAAGTTCCCGCAATACTTTTGCGAGATCCTGCAATAGTTTTAGGAGATCTCGCAAAAGTATTGCGGGATCTCGCAAATGTTTATTTTTTCCCTCCGTACAAAAGTGCTTCTATAAGAAATTCATGGAAAACACACTGAGAGTGAAAGAAACATATTTTTTGGTCCAACATAACCTTAGAGGCATTAATGCTGATTCTGGCACTTATAGTTTTTATTTTATAAACCTAAGTATAATTGTTAACTAGGCTAATTAACTTTTTAACTTGACTTTTTAATTTTTCAATTAGATTTTTACCTTTTTTCTTAAGTTAACTTTTTTTCCAACTCAATTTCTAGTAGGTAATATCTCACTTAAGGGCTCGTCTACATACTGAAATGTCAAAATAAGATGTACAGCCATGTAGCAGCATCTTTGCTGAATGGCTGGATATAGATCTTGTGCTTCTAGACCTCACCGCGGGACATGAAGGGGGGGTTCATTTGTAAGGGGTATGAAAGTGAGGGTTAGGAATAAAAAATACAGACTACGCAAACCGCATACAGCTGTTCACATGGAGGGAAAGAGCTGCTCAGAGCGTCAATCATCTTGAACTTTAGGAGAGACATTCAGTAAAAGTGAAGAAGTTTGAAGACATTTAAGAGATCCCAGCAAGTTCCAGGACTGAGAAGTTTCTTTGACACCAGTGCAGAGCCATGAGGTTGGTGTAAGAACCTCTAACCCGAGTACTTATGGTGAGAGGCTTCTGATGCAGAAAACAGCAAATATTTATGTTATTTTTTCCGCAATGCTGGCCTCTGTATTTATTAGTTAATGGAAAATGAGCAGCCGGGATTGAAATGGGACTGAGAGCAGAGGACATGTGTCAAAAATCAACAGGCTCAAACCCGTGAGACATTGAAGAGGAGGGTCAACCCCTCTGGCTCAAAATGTCTCAAGAGTCTCAAAATGCTGATTGAAATATTCTCACTTCACAGCATCTTTATGATCGGATCAACATATTTCCACTCTCTTTAGGAAACTCATGGAGTGAAAATTGTTTCATTATTCTTTCACCAAATAACATGTTTTTTAAATGAAAGTTTGGGAAAAAAAATGCAATCCAGGAATGAAATAAAAAAATTCTTAATTGGAAAAAGATTTAGATAACAATTTTCCTTTTTTCTTAGATTTTATCTCTTCAAATGATTCATTCTTCATAGTCTTTATTTACATTTTATTTTTTCCTCATTTAAAAAAGTAATTTTTTTAATATTTTAATTTCCTTTAATTTAATTAAAAAACATGTTCATGGGTTTTTTTTTTTATTTTGTTTGTTGTTTTTGTTTTAGACAATTTTTCTTTGGGTTGAAATTTACTCTTTAAATTCTCTTTAAATTGCATTTTACAGATCAGATTTTCTTCACTTTTGGGGGCGGGTTTTCCTCTGGTGTGACACAACTGCAACACAATTGCATTGTCTTATTCCAAGTGCATATTATCTAATTATCTTATTTAAAGAGTAAAAATACTCAATCCATTGCAAACTATCTCATTTACCTACTCAAATTACGGGTAAAAACACATCGTTTAAGAAATTTTTACTTATTTCTAGATCGTTTTTCCAGTGTACAGCACAAATGGAAAAGAATCACATTTTTAAAACTCAAAAAGTGAAAATTAAAAATATAAATTCTGTAAAAACTATAAAAAAAAAGTCAATAGTGAAAAAGAAATAAATGTTAAAAAATCCAAATAAAATATGTGAAAACAGCAATATTCTTAAAATCTTCTTTCAATTTTTTTAACGTTTCATCTCTGGATTATATTAAAAACACGTCATTTGTTTGCAGCAATAATAAAACATAATTTACTCCACAGAAATTCTCCATATGTCCAACAAACAGGATCTGAGTTCTGAGTCTGTGGGGCTCAAACTAACGGAGACTTTTATCACAGGACGCCCTGCTCCGACCTCTAGGCCTCCAATCCCCCAAATATTGTCTAATCTTTCAAAAAGAAAAATAAAGAATAGATTTGATAACAAAGCCTTAGCAGCACATGAAACAATTTAACATTTTAAAGCTGAGAAAGTCAAATTTTCACAGTTTGTTGATGTGTTGCCATGGCTACAAGATCATGAAAGGTTTATCTATTACACTAAACTAACATGGTTTGGAATGAAGGAGCTAAAATAAACCAACCAGGCATGTTGGGTTTATTTCAGGTGGTTATCAGCAACCTTTATGCTGTGCTGTGAAAATAAGGTCCGGTCAAAAGTAAAGAAACACTGCCCTCTGCTGGATATTATGAGAACTGCTTTTGTTTGGGTCATCAAAAGGAAATCAAGTTTTATGCTGGAGAAGATTCCCAGTCATCCAGGTCATGGTCATTCCATAAAGTTAATGTTAAAAAACAAACCACTGGACCCTTAACGACTGCATTTTCAGAGGAATGGACCAGTATCGGGTTTTGCAGGCCAATAACGACCTCAACGACTCCCATTATTAAGGGGTGGGGCTGGTTTTCCAGTTTCAAACTGCATGTTTTCTACGCCATTACGAGGCTTTTGTTGGGCTGCTCTATAAAAGCCTGGAACTGAACGCTAATCCAGACATTTAGAATTGAGAAAACTTCCTGGATGAGAAGCGAAACGTCTTCAAACTTGGAAAAACAAAGTCCACTGGTTTGCTTTTTAACTTTAACTTTTTGGACACACATGCTTCACAAAATAAGTCAGTGATAGTTACAAAAATCTCCATAATTACAGCTATGTGTAAAAGTTGTACCCAAACTTGGTTTTATCGGTAACAAATAAAGCAAGTTCCTATTTTAATTCCTCTTTAGCATTTTATTTCTATCTTTTGACAACACTGCTAATGGGACAGGTGAGCAGGAGCAAAAGAAAAAGCCAACCAAAATGATTTTGCAGACACTGGTCTGTTCTTTCTGCCTCGTAAGGTCTGTCATGTTCCAACCTGAACTGGGGATCCTCCCATTGAGTCATCCAGCTTGACTGTGAGGAACGCCGAAGCTGCCAGTTCATCCTGCGTACACTTCAGCCCCTGCCTGACAGAGGAGCACACCTAGTCTGAGCCATTCTCCATCTCTGGGTCTTAAACATCTCTACCTGGTTCTGCTCTCTGTTTCCTCACCAGGTGTAAATGATGTGTTGCTCCCTGCTGCCCTTTCTGTAACTGTAGAGGATGAGGTAGCAGTCTCCGCCGTAGAAGTGGCCGTGGGTTGAAGGATCCACCTGTACCCTGTCTCCGCCCTCGACGCGCCAGATCTAAACACAGCAGAACGGTGTTTTCACACAGCCTTGCTGCGATGGCTCTCCGTTCAACATAGGAACACCCTCCTACCTGGACCTTGCCTTTGCCGTCATCCACCATGCCGTGCTGGGCCGCCATGGTTGCGTTTGAGTGCAGAGAGGAGGCATCAAAGGGAACTTGCTCCACCTTGGCGATGCGGCCAATGGTGTAGGCCTTGCTTGGTCCTGTTGTCTCATCCTTGTCCCTCCAGTCACTAAAAAACTGCTTGAACAGGATTGTTTCTGCCCCTGCAGGAAGGACTTGGATCTGCAGGTGAAACGTGACGTTAGCTTTGAGACACAATGGGGGACCTTTGAAGAATGCATTGACCTTACCTGTGTCTTATTGCTGTATCCCTTGTCTTTAATGAACTGCTGCCCTGCAGACATGGCCGCTTTACGCTCAGAAGGATTGGCCTTCGGACCTTTATGGGTTCAAAGGAAAAATGAAATTAACTCCAAACGAAAAAGCCTAAAGGGAATTTGAGTTTCTTCACATGGAATAAGTGTGTCATTGGCAGAAAGACTTTGTTTCCAAGTTTGAAGACGTTTCTCTTCCCAACCAGGAAGCTTTTTCAGTTCAAAATGGCGTTTAGTTGAAGGTTTTATAGAGTGGACCAAAAACAAAGCTTTAGAAAACATGCAACACTGAAAAAAGTAATGCAACAATTTTTTGGGCATTTACTTAATCCTATTTAGGTACTTTAACACAATTGTTTCATGTTAGCATCGTAGGACATAAAAAAAAAATATGGTAAAGTAACTAAATATGATAAGAAAAAATGGAGAAAAGTGGGTGCATTATTTTTTTCAGTGAAATTGAACCGGATGAATGGATCCGCCCCTTTATTATGGGGGTCGTTTGGTTTATTTGTTTTGTCCACTCTATAAAAGCCTGGAACTCGACGCTGTTCCTGACATTTTGAATAAAAAAAATCTTCCTTGATGGGAAGTGACACGTCTTTGAACTTGGAAACAAAGTCCAGTGGATTGTTTTGAACTTTCCTGGAATGACGATGACCTGGATGACTGGGAATGATAGAGCTGTATTATTATGAGCTTAAAGACATTCGCTGTTTAAGTCAGTCATGAGCAGTGATGTTCCAGCTTTTATACGATCACAAATAGTTTTTAGTATTTCTGTTCATGATGACGACACTAGAGGTTCCATCAATAAGCAGCTTGTTTTACCAGCTAATGCTCTAGAGCAGAGGTCTTCAACAGGGGGTCTGCGACCCCTAGGAGTCCATGGAGGTACTGCATGGGGGTCGCCAAAGTTTTAAATGATTAGTTATTTTTTTTATATTCTCTCCTGCTATTTTTTTCCACTAATTAAAATATCTTTAAATCCACATTAACATGAATTCAACAGACTGTAGTAAACAGATAAATGGAGGCAGAAGATGTCTTTCAGTCATCAATGCCAGTGGCGGTTCTAGACCAAATATACCAGGGGGCCAGGAGGGGGCCAGCATGTTTTCATGGGGTCCCGAAAAGCATGAAATAAAAAAAAAAGAGGCAAGGGATTCAAATATATTAATAGAGCTCCATGAAGTGAAATTTTTATTCAATTAGGTTTATTTAACATTCTATGTCATATTAGGTCAATATACATTCAGAATTTAGGAATTTTCCATATTTTTGACTTTTAGTTAAAACGACCTTTTTTCTACAAAATCTGAATTAGAACTCAAGAAAAACTGATAAATTCAGACGTAAAAAATAGAGAAATTTGTTTTGAAAAACACATTTAGCAGATGGAAACTGGGATCCTATCTCAATCCCACTGAAGCTATCGAGTTATGGTTTTTAAATAATTAGTAGAACAGAATTTATAAAGGAAAAAAATGAAATAGATCCAAAGGAGCTCTCAGTAACCATGTCTGTTCCAGCGCAGATCATCATTAGAATTTCTTTGAGTATTATGTGTTCAGTACAGGGGCCATAACAGGGGCCAGGGCATGATCTACAGGGGCACTGGCCCCCGTTGGCCCCTATCTAGAACCGCCCATGATCAATGCACACATTCAGCGACACACAGGAGCTCTTTCAAGCTGGGCACCGTTTCATTCACAACACCTGTCCCATCAACCAGGAATCAGAAATACTTTAATAATCCCAGGGAGGGATTACTTTAGTTACATTACTCCATCTGTAATAGAGTAACTATAGGACCAGTTTGATTGAACACTATTTTATTCAATATATATAATTAGGGGGTCCCCGCTCCGTCGCCATCAGTTTGGGGTCCTTAGCCTGGAAAACGTTGAAACCCCTGCTATAGAGACATTTTTTATTTATAGATTATTGCATGTTTGGAATAATCTACCTAAATATCATCATAGCCAAAATTTCTTTTTAAAAGATTCTGAGACTCTATTTGATGCCCTGAAGTGCTTTTTTTGTTTTATTTTATTTTTTTATTGTTTTTTTTATTTTACTTTTGTATATTCTCTGATCATTTCTAAAGTACTTTGTGTTGAGAAATTACATTTTTAGAAATCCAGTATTTGAGACTGTGTTTTTTACGTTTTAAATGTGGATCCCTGTTAGCTGTTTGCCATGGCAACAGCTAACAGGGATCCTTAATACTATTAGAAATTATGGTTTAAAGGAATAGTACACCCAAAACATGATTAGCCTTCATTTTCTACTCACCCCCATGCTGAACAACACTCTGGAGTACTTCTTTGATATCTCAAATGCATCTGGAGATCTGGGAGGCTTCTTGCTGTCTGCTGACATTCAAATAATGGAGGTCTATGGCGCCCGAGGCAGAAAGGTCCATAAAAGTCCACAAAAAACGTGTCAATATTCCTCCATACTGCTCGTCCAATGTATTCCAAGTGTCCTGAGTGGGTAGCGTCCATAATTTACTCGAAACAAAGTCATTTAGAATGTTTTTAGAGCATAAACAGTAGTGTATAGGATTTCCTGAAAGCGCGATCACGAGTCTACAGAAACAGCGGCAGACCAAACCAGATGAAAGTGCGCATTCAGCTCGGCAAAGAACTCATGCTCTTCCTCAACACTGAAGTCCTCAGACATTTTTCTTTCGTTGTTTCTTTCTTTGCACAGGTAAACAGCACATTTCTTCTTCTACGCTTGCATTATCGGCAGAGCAGACGCTGAATGCGCACTTTCATCTGGTTTGGTCTGCCGCGGTTTCCGTAGACTCGTGAACGCGCTTTTAGGAAATCCTATACACTACTGTTTATGCTCTAAAAACATTGTTGTTCAGTGTTGAACAGTGTTGTTCAGCATGGGGGTGAGTAGAAAATGAAGGCTAATCATGTTTTGGGTGTACTATTCCTTTAAGTAAATTGGTAAAAAGTCCAACATGAATGACATCTGTCCAGTAATGTCTGTGGTTTAACCTGCTGCGTTATCATCCAGTTATAAGAACATTTCTGGTACCTTTCCAAACAAAGATGTTGTTGTCCACCCCGTTGTCCAGGATGTAGCATTCATCAGGGGACAACATGGCCTGTTTGAATGGACTGGACTGAGCCACGCAGGACACCTTCATGGACCCAGAGGCATCTGAGATCTGAGGACCGAAAACACACCATCAGATGAAAGCGCAGTGAGGAGGGACCCTCTGGGATTGCATCGTACGTTTGTGGTTTTTAGACCAGGGGTGCTGTATTAGGGGGGGAAAGTTAGGACCATTCTAAGGACCCTTGACTCAAAAGAAGAAATCCCGCTAAATTTTTCAAATATAAAAAAGAAAATCCAGCAGTAAAATAAATAATCTTCATGTTCTCCCTGATTTTTCAGCAGTAAACAGTGAAACAAGGCATGCATTTTTTGACACACACCCTTCCTGTGAAACTGCAATAAATGGTTTGGTCCTCAGCTCCTGCATCGCATCAGGTCTCCCCGTCCTTCACTGGCAGTTTGCTCTTACCGGGTCTTAAATGCCACGCACACGTCATTTTACGTAGTGATAATAAAAGAAACAAATGAACAAGAAAAGGTGTAAATAAGCAGCCGTTTGGTTAGAAATATCTGCCTGGGTTTCAAAAAGGAATGGACAGGAAGGAGAAAGAAGAGAGAGAGAGAAGGCGTCCGATACCGGGACCTAGTTTTTATCCCCTTCTCATTTTTCTAGAAATGATTGTTACCTGAATAGTTCAAATTGACAATAGATTATTAACCTGTTGAGTGAAATAAGACGCTATCTGCTGGAAACAACTACTTAAAGCCTGGTTATCCTCAATCAGGAACTAGCTGTGGGTCTGGATACGGCCGAGGAGAAGAGGGAGTGGGGGCAAGTTTGTGTGACAACTGAGGGACATGAGGGCCAAAAAGAGCAGAGATCAAGGTGGGAAAATGGTCCCAGCGTTCTAACGCACCTCGCTCTTCCAGCTGCTCCATCTTCACCAGTCGATTTCCACAATGGCGGTCAGACAAACACAATAAGCCGGTAAGGAACCCAACAGGAAATACGCATAGAGCGGATGGAAAATTGACCAATCAGATGCTGATTTATAATGAGAAACCAGGTTTAGCTGTAGGTGACCCAGGGGCGTAGCCAAAACATTTTTATAAGGGTGGCCAGGCAATAACCAATGTACACTGAGGGGTGGCCTAAAGTGCATCGGTGCCAGAACCTCAGGATCAATCTTTTTTTAATGAGCACAAGATCCAAATGTTCTAAATAAAGACAAAATATCCTTTCCTATAGCCTTTGCTAACAAATAGACACATATATTTAAACATCTTCCTAGATAAAAGGTATAGTGGATACATTTCTTCAGATTTGTAGTTCTGGGGCGAACATCTTTTCCTTTGTCAAAAGTTACAATTACTAATAATTTTGCAAAATAATTATATTTACAAACACTAATATCTACATAAATTGATTATTTAATACGTTTTTATTAAAATGGTTATCTACTATTTAACTGAATATTCCAATATGTCTTGCAGAGAAACATATTTATCTCTTTACCCCATTTAATGTCAGTATATTGATGTGCAAAATTAACCACAGTATTTTTGTTGTCAAGTAAATGTTAATGTATGAAAAACTAAAATTTTTTGAATATTCTACTTGAGAGTATTACTGTTGCCACCGTCTGTATTAGAGGGGGAAAAATAGTAGGTGTGGCCACAGGGGTGGCCAATGATTGGCTTAGGGTGGCCATGTCTACCTCTGGCCCCCCATCTAGCTCCGCCCCTGAGGTGACCGCAGATAGGAGGTCTCTGATTGACAATCAGCTAGTTCCTGATTTTCCCTCTTGCGTTGTGGAGTGGAATAACATAGCGCAGACCACGCTTCAATATTGGGAATAAATCAAAAATATCTGAGATAAGCTCAGTGCGACACGCTGCTGAGGGAGGATAACCAGGCCTTTAAGGTCGTAGGGAAGCGGCTGTTCCAATCGTTGCATTTCCGAATTCTACCGAGTGGTGCCCGACTTTACACGAGTGAATAAAGTGAATGTGATTGGTCGATTATCAAGGGGGCGGGATTGTTGTGGCGGAAGGTTTGCAAGCCCGTTTGATTGTTGCCAATTTGTTGGAAGCATCTTGCTAACCAGTTAGCAACTTAGTGCTAGTAGGTTCCCAATGGGAAATTCCATTGGGACCAAGTAGCACTAAATTGGTGACTTAGAAACGACGCTGTCAAGGAACGCTATGGACAGAGGAAACATGCAAGAGGAGGAGAGTTTAGTGTCGGAGGTCGTGGATGAGTCTCCTCCGTCATCCATTTTTTATTTAGAGGAGGAAAGCGGGGACGAAGATGTTCTGGAAGAGGACGCCAGGGCGGCAGAAGCTTGGTTTGGTGTTGAAGGCTTCCAGCCGTACATGTTTGAGCCCTTGCCTCGCAACGCTGCCAGTTCTGTTAGCTCTACGCCTGCTGAAGACACAGACGTCCATCCCCGAGAACACTGGGACGCAACTCAATGGGAAAGGAAAGAATTCTGATTTCAACCGTTGCGTATATTAGCTGCGACACATGAATCAAGATGCTATGACCGAAAACATTTGATTGACAGATGACCGTTGATATATGATTGGCCGAATTTAGGTGTTCATGCTGACGTAGAACTAACTGGCCTGAAGAAGATAACGAAACAATATGGGACAATATGGTCTGATAAAAAGAACATGTATATACATGTTTAAGCCAGAATGACTTGACATTTAAATATGACTTCCCTACAACTTTAAGTGTCCAATATGAATGTCTTTCATGGGACCTCAAATTACTTGCGGCCCCCCTGTTTTAGAAGGTGCTGATGTGGAGTTTTGTTTTAGCAGATCCCCTTTGCTAATTAAACTACTAACTTTCACATTCAAGTAAAATTTCTTCGGCTTTCACAAAAAAACTAAACAAAAAACAGACAAACCAACTTTAAAAATGATCAGAGCCACAAGTATTTGAATCCAGTTTGCCTGTTTTTTTTTTACCATGTAGAGGGCGCCCTTCCTCTTGTTGGAGGTGTCCACCTTGTCATCATCCGGAGTGCTGGGAGCAATGGCAGATTTGGGTCCAAGAGCCTAAAAAAAAACCAAGCCAAATATTATATAGCTGTGTTTTTATCCTGGGTAGTTCAGGCTGCAGAGCCACAAACCTTCGTCAGATCTAAATAAAAACAGATGAATCCAAAATGTTTTCTAGTTAGTCAGCATGTTTCCATGTAAAGGAAGTGTTTACAGATTCACCGTGACAAAGAGCTGGCACAGAGACAACAAACGCCTTTGCGTCCATCCGTTCCCACGCTGACTAACTTTAATTACACAGAAAGATCCTGTTTGAGGCTTCAATATGATGCGGTTCTGCGGGAAAAGAGAGAAATTGTTGTTGTTTTTTTTACCTCTATGATTTCCGAAGGCTCGCTGCCCTCCTCCACCATGTGCACTTTGGCTCGCCCATTTCTTTCATTATCTCTGATGTCAATGGCCACCTGGGAGGCCTTGAGGCGCTCAAAGCGGTTACACTCGCTGCCGCACCACTGATACACGTCCTGCAAGAGGAAAAGAAGAAAATGAATCTTATAAATCCTGTGATGAAAGGAGGTAATGGACCTGCAGCTCTAGCTTCATTTTGGACACGGGGTCAACAAGCCACTACCCTCTAACAGTGACCTAAAAAAGTATTTACGACCTTAATATGAACTAGAAAAACAATTTTATTCAATTTCAATTCACTTCAGTTTATTTCTAGAGCTCCAATTCACATCATGTCATCTCAGGTCACTTTAAAGTTCACCAGATTATTCAGTCAGATTGATTCAAAGTTTTGTAACTAAGGAAAACAAGTTGATTGCATCGACTCATTGACTTTACAGCAATCTCTCACACTAAGCATGCTTGTAGCGACAGTGGAGAGGAAAAACTCCCTTTTAACAGTAAGAAACCCCCATTAGAACCAGGCTCAGTGTGAGCGGCCATCTGCTTACAGAAAGCAACTGTAAAAGGCGACCCCGTCCAGGAAAATCAAAGCCAGGCAGATATAATTGCGAATTGAATGAAAATTGTGTTGTTTTTAGGGATAAAAATCTGAAAAGGGGGCTTTCAAAGCTCGGTTATTTTTATTCCACCTTATTCTAGCCAACTAAAATAAAAAGCTAATTTTTCTAAGGGAGCTCTGGACAGGCGGCAGCTAATCTTACGCTAGGTTCAGACCACAAGCAGCAGAAGCAGCAGATGCAGCTATTTTACATGCAAAGTCAAAGGTTGAGGCGTATCAAGGTGCAGCAAAAGGACCTGAGTGAAGTTGGCCCCCTACGTTCTTCAAATCAGACAAAATTAGTGTCAAACGTTTGTGCTGGTTTGTGCCGCAATCGTTTTAAAGATATAAAGAAATATTTCTAGAGGTCATCAAAGGTCAACCAGCCCCCCCTCCTTCTTTAAATCAGACGAAATGGGTGTCAATTAACTCAGCTCTGTTTGTGCAGCAAACATTTTCGTTTGTGCTGCTTTGGCTTTGAAGATTTGAAGAAGGTGGGGGGGGCTGGTTGACCTTTTCACCTTTACATTTTCATTAATATCTTCAAAGCCAAAGCAGCACAAACGAAGCTGAGGTAATTGACACCCATTTCGTCTGATTTGAAGAAGGTGGGGGGGCTGGTTGACCTTTGATGACCTCTAGAAACCTTTCTTTATATCTTTAAAACGATAGCGGCACAAACGAACATTTTTGCTGCACAAACGTAGCACAAATGTAGCACAAACGTTTGACACCAATTTTGTCTGATTTGAAGAAGGTGGGGGGGACAACTTCACTCAGGTCGGAGAAAACTCCTTTAGCCGCCACTGGATCAGAGTTAACTGTTTGACCACGATCTGAGCTTTTATTGGTGTTCTAAGACACAGCCAGCTGGGCGCCTGTTCACAGAGAAATATCTGTCTGAAGATTATGATTAAATTAAGCTTAACATTTAACTGCACAACACACTGAAGCTACCTGCAGAAATAAAAGGATATCCATCTTATCCAGCTTTCAGTGAATCAGCTCATTCCTCATAGAGCTGTAGTATCAAAACCCATCTGGATTTGAGCAGGTAGAAAAGGCGTCTTACCTTTCCTAGGTCAATGATGAAGCAATCTCCTTTGTTGAAGCTGGACCAGGACAAATCCACCTCTGTTGCTCTGATGGCCCTGCGACCCTTCACGTGAAGCAGGCGCTTCACGCTCATGTCATTGGTGACCACGTGCTTGAAGCCAGACGCCACGCCTCCTTTCTGCAATAAACAAGTGACATCAGAACGGCCGTAAACACGGCTGAAATGTTTGAAACCCTGGAAACATGGTCACACCTTTGGCTGACAGAAAAAAAAAACAACCTTTGAAGATATTTTTTGGTTAGCTTAAAATAAATGAATGCTTGCTATTCCTCTCTAGTTGTAAATACATATTTAAAGCAACTCACACTAAACAATCACATTAACGTATAACTAGGGTTGCATGCCTTGCCCAAAAGCAAACTGACATGCAGCAGAAAGCTGGAATAGAAGCAGAAACCTCTGGATTGTAAGACTCTGAGACTTCCTGATTGGAGCATCCAGAGTTCATCTTTGCATAATGTCTGTATATCATCTTTCTGGGTCGTCTCTAATGCTCTCATCTCTGGAGCCCAGCCTTCGCTGGAATCTGGGGGATTTAGATATTTAGATATAACCACTGATCCTCTTTAAGGAGGATCATTCTGTAGGGGCGGAGCCAGAAGGGGGACCAGGCATTGGCCACCCCTATGGCCAGCCCTACCAGGTAATTTGTTGTTCCTATAGGTTTATCCTTCATCTCTATAACAAGCAGTTCCCTTCTAAACCACAGGGTGGCAGTAGTGAGAGGCCCAGTTTCATTCCTCTCACTTGGTTCCACTCCAAGAAGTTCCCTCCACAGTGAAGTCTACTAAATGAGTGAAGTGCAAGTGAAGATTTTCTCCCTAAGAAATGGGACACCACTACACTGCAAAAAAATAAAATCTAAATAAGTATTTTTTTCTTAAAATAAGTGCATTTTTTCTTGAATTAAAGGAATAGTACACCCAAAACATGATTAGCCTTCATTCTCTACTCACCCCCATGCTGAACAACACTCTGGAGTACTTTTTTGATATCTCAAATGCATCTGGAGATCTGGGAGGCTTCTTGCTGTCTGCTGACATTCAAATAATGGAGGTCTATGGCGCCCGAGGCAGAAAGGTCCATAAAAGTCCACAAAAAACGTGTCAATATTCCTCCATACTGCTCGTCCAATGTATTCCAAGTGTCCTGAGTGGGTAGCGTCCAGAATTTACTCGAAACAAAGTCATTTAGAATGTTCTTAGAGCATAAACAGTAGTGTATAGGATTTCCTGAAAGCGCGCAGCTGCGCGTTCACGACGCTACGGAAGCCGGCAGACCAAACCAGATGAAAGTGCGCATTCAGCGTCTGCTCTGCCAATAATGCAAGCGTAGAAGAAGAAATGTGCTGTTTACCTGTGCAAAGAAAGAAACAACGAAAGAAAAATGTCTGAGGACTTCAGTGTTGAGGAAGAGCATGAGTTCTTTGCCGAGCTGAATGCGCACTTTCATCTGGTTTGGTCTGCCGCGGTTTCCGTAGACTCGTGAACGCGCTTTCAGGAAATCCTATACACTACTGTTTATGCTCTAAAAACATTCTAAATGACCTCGTTTCGAGTAAATTCTGGATGCTACCCACTCAGGACACTTGGAATACATTGGACGAGCAGTATGGAGGAATATTGACACGTTTTTTGTGGACTTTTATGGACCTTTCTGCCTCGGGCGCCATAGACCTCCATTATTTGAATGTCAGCAGACAGCAAGAAGCCTCCCAGATCTCCAGATGCATTTGAGATATCAAAAAAGTACTCCAGAGTGTTGTTCAGCATGGGGGTGAGTAGAAAATGAATGCTAATCATGTTTTGGGTGTACTATTCCTTTAAGGATTGAAGTGAGACACTTTGCCAATGGAACAAGACAATTTACAGTTTAAACAAGAAAAAAACAATTGCATTGTCTTATTTCAAACGCATAATATCTAAATACCTTATTTCAAGAGTAAAAATACTCATTCCATTGGCAAATCATCTAATTTACCTGCTCGAATTAAGGGTAAATACACTTAATTTAAGACATTTGTAGACATTTTGAGATCATTTTTGCAGTGTAGTTGCAAAATTACACCCCAGCCCAGTAGATGGCGGTAATACATTGCCTGTACAAATCAGTGATGTGTTCACCTACATCATGCATAAACACAGTGTGAGTCACAAGGGGCGTGCAAAATAATCGTCATGATGATGCATCGTGATTCTAATTTTCGTGATCTACTGCATCGATTCTTTACGGAGCCCCTCTGATGACATGGTAAAAAAATTTTTTTAATTGTGGCCACGAAATACTACTTCGTGGCCACGCAATAAGTTTAACGTGCGCACGAAATACTTATTAATAATATTAATATAATTCCTGAACAACTGGGTAAGCAAATCGAGCGCGCCTTCTCTAAGGTCTAAGGCGCGCTCGATTTGCTTACCCAGTCGGTCTCCACCAGTCACGTGATATTTGTTGCTAAGACGCCATTTTAGGTGGAAAAGGCGTAGTGTAAACAACCGCAGCATAGCTAAACGAAGGACTAAAGGCCCGTTTACATAGCAGCCTGTCCAAGATAAGTCATTACAGTTAACATAAGCCTGAAAACAGGGGCGGATTTATTGATATTATTAATAAGTATTTCGTGCGCACGATAAACTTATTGCGTGGCCACGAAGTAGTATTTCGTGGCCACAATTAAACATTTTTTTTGACCATGTCATCAGAGGGGCTCCGTAATTCTTGACGCCAAGTATCGATTATTAATTCTAAAAAATAAATAAATAAAATTGCATGAATGGTTGGCGATCATCAGCCAAAAACAAGTGTAATACAACTTCCAGTCCAGTAGATGTCGCTGTGGATGTGTTGACGCACGCTGCCTTGTGTCACAAGCATTACCGGCCGGGGGATACTGCGCCGTGACCTAACAACAGCCAGATGCATGTCTCGCTCCGCCCAGCTCCACTCACATACATCTGGGAACCCGCTCATTGAAAGTGATTTCACCAACCGAATTTATGGTCTGTCCAATCAGGACGCAGGGCGGGTGTGTCCTGGAGTGGAGAAGCGATCGTGAGATTCCAACAACAATGACGGCTCGCATTGAGGAAGCAAGCGTTAGCATTGATGCTGCTATTTCTTCTGTGTTGTCCAATCTATCTGATATTGTTTCATTAAAAGAACATCAGAGAACGGCTTTGAAGGCTTTTGTTGGTGGAAACGATGTTTTCGCCCTTCTCCCGACCGGATTTGGCAAGAGCTTGATCTACCAAATGGCTCCTCCTCTCACAGCGTCACGGGTTAGCTTCGGTGTGAGTGGTTGAAATAGCACGTCAATAAAGATGACAGACAAGTGGCTTATCCAATCATATGCAAGGAGTTTTGATAAGGCCCAGCCTTCAGTAAAGGCAATTCCTATGGCGGGTTCCCAGATGTATGTGAGTGGAGCTAGGCAGAGCGAGACATGCATCTGGCTGTTGTCAGGTTAACTGCGCCGAGTCATTCAAAAACAAAACATGGAGGAGAAAATATTGCAATGCATCACAATAATTCAAGTATTGTGATGCATCGTGATAGAATCGCATCGTGGCCTGAGAATCGGGATTCGCATTGAATCGTGACTTCTTTGGCAATACCTACCCCTAATCTACACTGAACTAACTGCTGCTCAGGGAAGGCAAAGAGAGAGAAACACAACAGATAAGATCTGCTATGAAGCTGATTTGTTTTACAAAACATGCAAAAAAAGCTCCTGAAGGGATGTTGCAGAGGAGATGTGACCTGTGACCTCTAGTCGGAAACTGAAGCTGTCATTTTATGAGAACAATGGAAGGGAACTAGAACTATCTAGTTAGGTGGTTTGTTTGGTGAGTTCAGCAGCATAAGTCAGACATAGAACCAGAGCTGGAGCACTAAACTCAATTTAGACCAAAGAACGGACACCGCATGTGTGCTGCTCTTTGGTCTTTAAATGTTTCTGTGGTAACGACGCAGGCCCCGCCCACCTGGTGTCTGTAACAATGAATGTGCTGTTTTTTTTTTTTACATCTCTTTGCAGGTGATGAAGCAGACTGAAGATGCTTTATCATTATCTCCTCTTTCTTTCATCCTTTCTCCTTTTTTCTGTTTTTCCGTTCCTGTTCTACTTACATTGCAGTGTCCATATAATCTGTAAAACTCCCTGCATGAATTAAAATAAAGCAATTTATGTGCATAAATAAAGCAGAACACTATGGCGATAGCCGTACTGCTCCACTTGTGAAAGCAAAATCTGTTGGGGTTTTTTAGCATCTAGACAATTATTCTTATTGTCACACTGACAGACAGGACACTATAAAAAATGTGCAAAATGACAACAGCATGTTATTTAACTGACTAAAATAGAAACTGTGCAAATTCAGTTGGGAACAGTGATGGTTATAAAGTCTTCCAGCTACTGGGAGGAAGGGACTGTGATAATGCTGGTATTGCATTTAGCGTGCAGTAAAAATTGTTGGGTCCTTTTTTGGCATCAAGACAATTATTATATAAACAACAAACACAAAAAAAACAATGAATTTGCCAAGGCTGGAAAAGTTAATAGTGATTCTTCGCAGTGAGGGTGCGTGAGGACCACCATGTGCAGCACAGCCTTTCCAACCTCCAACTGGAGCAGTAAACAAGAATTTCAGCTAATTATATTCAGCTTAAACCGAGTTTGCTGTGGGTGGGGGCGGGGCTGCTCTTTGCCTGCTCGTGTGGAAATGAGAAACACATTGCTGGTACAAAAAAAAAAAGAAAAAAAGTGGTTTAGCTGCGTGTTTCAGATGTCCTTTTTTGAACTATGTGGATGGTTAAGTTAAATGCGGCCATCTGACACACCCCGACTGTGAGATACTGTAGCTGCTGGGGAAGGTGCTCTCTGAACTCCTGAATCATGAGCTCAGCTCTGTGGCAAAGTACGGGAAACATAATCATTAAACAGCATAATTATGTATCAGGTCAACTGATTGGAGCTCCTTCCCTCCAGGGTATTAGTCACCCTGACTCTCAGAGTTTATGTCAGTTTGGTTCCCTTTTTTAGTTCAACTAGTGAAACTTTAACTGGAAACAATAAAAACATTAAAAAAAAAAAAAAAAAAAAGCTATTCTTCCAGAGGAGAGCTACTTTATCGTAACCCAGTGCAGATGGTTATTGTTGTTTGTAGAGAACCAGAAGTTGTCTCTCTGTAATCAGTCACAGTGACTGGTATCCTGCAGCTGTATGATGCCGGGATTATAGCTGCAGCCGAGCTTTGAAATGAGCGATGTCATCGGCATGGTAACGTATAATAAAGGCCAAGAGGCTGGGGTTAAATACGCATACAGCTTATAATTATCTGTAGATTTAGGGTGAGAATAATCGTTAATTAACAGTAAACACTGTTTATCTCCTGGATGGACATTGACGTTATTCACTGTGTATTTAGTACTTTTTGTACCATTATTGTTGCAAACAAAAAACACGCTTTCAATTTTTTTTTTCATGTATTTTATTTATTTATTTTTCTTTTTATTTCTGTTTTTCAGATTGAGCTCCATTCCTTTCAATTTAACTCAATTCAGTTTGTTTCTATAGAGCCAATTCACATCCTGTCATCTCAGGTCACCTTCCTACGGAGCCCCTCTGATGACATGGTCAAAAAATCTTTTTTAATTGTGGCCATGAAGTAGTATTTCGTGGCCACGCAATAAGTATAACGTGCGCACGAAATACTACTTCGTAATATTAATATCATTCCTGGACAACTGGGTAAGCAAATCGAGCGCGCCTTCTCTAAGGTCTAAGGCGCGCTCGATTTGCTTACCCAGTCGGTCTCCGCCAGTCACGTGACACTTGTTGCTAAGACGCCATTTTAGGTGGAAAAGGCGTAGTGTAAACAACTGCAGCATAGCTAAACGAAGGACTAAAGGCCCGTTTACATAGCAGCCTGTCCAAGATAAGTCATTACAGTTAATGTAAGCCTGAAAACAGGGGCGGATTTATTGATATTATTAATAAGTATTTCGTGCGCACGTTAAAATTATTGCGTGGCCGCGAAATACTACTTTGTGGCCACAATTAAACATTTTTTTTGACCATGTCATCAGAGGGGCTCCGTACTTCCCAGTTCACCAGATCATCCAGTCAAATTAATTCAAAGTTTTCTATCTAAGGAAAACCAGTTGATTGCATCGACTCATTGACTCTTCAGCAATCCCTCACACTATTCCAAATTTTCTCCCCTTCCAACCAAATACAAACGCTTGCTGTTGATGTGTACATTAACAACTATAATGTTGTTCAGACTTTAAGTCCATCACTAGAAAAAAATCTAAATCCAGATAAGTAATTTTTTTCTTAAATTAAGTGCATTTGTTCTTGGATCGAGTAGATAAAAGATAAATTTTGCAAATGGAACAAGACAATTTACACTTAAAATATGAAAACATAATTGCATTGTCTTACTCCAAGTGCAAGTTATCTAATTATCTTATTTTAAGAGTAAAAATACTCATTCCATTGGCAAACTATCTCATTTACCAACTCAAATTAAGGATAAACAGTTAATTTAAGACATTTTTACTTATTTCAAGATCGTTTTTCCAGTGTAGTAATGAGTTTGAAATTTGAAAAAAAAAAACAGAAATTTGAAAAAAATAGGAAATCTATAAAAAAAAGAAGAAGAAATGAAGAAAATAAAACCTGAAAAACAGCAGAGTTACTCTTAAAACCTTTTTTTTATTATTAAAACTTGTTTTAAAGTTAAATTAGCAAAATATGTTTTTTTTTGTTTTTCTCCATTTTTTTTAAATGTGTTCCTTTCTTGCAACAATAATGGACCATAACTGACTCCATAACAATAATGTAAAGTACATTATATTTTAAAAACAACACTTAAAAAATAACAACTTTTCAGATACTAGGCGTCCTGGCAACCGTTTTCAAGACTTTTCCTCCTTACATTTTATAACATCATATCCGTAAACTTTGCACGGTTTATAGGTGTTTTATTTATGCCAACAACAACGAAGCACATTAGGGGAATTTAAGTGGAATGATTCATGGTTAATGAGGGCTTCACAAATACTAGTCTAAAAAATGTGGCATGTGTTTGTATTTAGCCCTCCTAAGCCAATACCATGCAGCTTCATCTTTTGGGAATTTTTTGCAGCTGAATTTTCACCAGGTAAAAATTCAGTGTAAGGAATTCAATGCGTAAAAATTTCAGTATTTAAAATTCGGTGCTAAAAAAATGTCAGTGTTTGAAATTCGGTGTAAAAAAAAAAAGGCAGATTCCAATGAGACTTTCCGTAAAAATTCAAAAAATATCCACTGGACTTGGTTTTCAAGATTTGAAGACGTTTCGCCACCCCTCCAGGAAGCTTTCTCAATTCAAACATTTGAATTGAGAAAGCTTCCTGGAGGGGTGGCGAAACGTCTTCAAATCTTGAAAACCAAGTCCAGTGGATATTTTTTGAATTTTTACGGAATGACTATGACCTGGATGACTGAGAACCTTCATCTCCAATGAGACTGTTTTCCTTCCGTAGGTTTTCATGATTCTGTATGTTCTTCAATGTTCTCTTACATTAGAGGACTTCATAGAACAGATTTATACCAGGATTGCGTTTTGCACTTCAGACGGTAGCTTGTTACACTGGACTTTATTCCACAAAACCAAAGTCAATTAAAAACAAATGTGCCTTTTAGTTGTAATTAACTTTAAGAATAGGGATGCACGATATTGGGATTTTGGCCGATATCCGATATGCCGATATTTTAAAACTCATGTAGCCGATAACCGATATCGATACCGATGTTAAAGCTGGACAAAAATAAGTAGTCATTGAAAATAGCAGTTTTGTTATCCATTTCTGACACTTTGAAAAATAATATACTCAAATATATTTTCATATGCTGATATCAAATTGATTTTTATTTATTTATTTTTTTATTTTATTTTTTTTATTTATTATAAAAAAAAAATAAATAAATAAAAAAAATTTAATAAATAAATAATATTTATTTTAAAAAACGCGGTATCTATCTATTTTACTTTCAAAATCTCGTGAAATTTCATCGTTCTGTTACAAACTCTCGTGATATTTTGCAAATTCTTGTGAGATTTTGTTAGTAAAATAGATCGATACCGCGTCAATATATCAACATATAAAAATATGGCAACATTTGGTGAATTTTCGGGGGATTTCGTAGCATAACAATGACATATAGCAATATTTCATTAGTAAAAGAGATTGATATGGTGTTTTTAAATGGCAATATATCAGCATATGAAGATATTGGGATATTTTAATGTATCAATATTTTTTCCCTCGTCTTTAGAAGTTTTTAAGTCTGTAAAAACGAAGTTTTTGAGGAAGAAGAAGAAGTAGTATTTTTATTTATTTTTTTTTTTAGACTTTAGAAACTCAGAAGCTGATCAAATATCGGGTTAAATATCGGTGGGGTGGCCGATGTCCGATATTCAGTTTTAAGGCCGATACCGATAGGGGGCCGATTATATCATGCATCCCTATTTAAGAACAATGCTTCCTTCTCCATTTTCTTCACTGCAGTATTATAATGTATTAATATTAAATACTGTTGGATAGACTGAAGATCTACTTTAGTCTTTTATATAAAAAGAAAGAAATATAGTGAAGTTTGTGGCTGCTGCATTATAAGATAAGCAAGAGTCAATTAAGGTCAAACATCTTTGCACCATAAATAATGAGAATTGTGGAGTAAAACATGTTGAGGTATGTCTGTTCTTATCCTCAAAGTACGGTGGCCCTGAAGTTCAAACTGCAACTAAAAATCTAAAAGCGCAACTACATTTAGAAAAACACAATTACATGAACCTACCGGAAAAGGTAGGTACCAGTGGGAAACATGAGACATCGCTGATTGGACGACGGCGCCGTTTGACCCTTGAACCGGAAGTTGCGTCGTCTGAACAGTCCAGCTTCTTTTAAGTGTGTCTTCAGTGTACGCAAACTAACTGAAATTTCGTGATTAGTCTTGAGCATATCCAGTATCGCCTCGTACGTATGTCCTGATTCAAAATATTCCTGGATAACGGCAGCTATGTTTGGGGCGCCGACAATATCCATGTTTTCAAAAGCCGCAGCAGGCAGAATGACTTCCGGTTCAAGGGTCAAACGGCGCCGTCATCCAATCAGCGATGTCTCATGTTTCCCACTGGTACCTACCTTTTCCGGTAGGTTAATGTAGTTGTGTTTTCCTTAATGTAGTTGTGCTTTTAGATTTGTAGTTGCAGTTTGCACTTCAGGGCCACCGTATCACAGGCTTCAATCGAAGGTCATGAGAGATAAAAATGAGTCACACAGCTTCCTTCATGGCATGAAGTGGAGGACTGCTGTTTAGAGGAGATCCATCTGTCCAGTGAAAGATATATGAACCTAACAGTGTTCTTGTGTGAGAAAGTTCTTTGTGCCGGGGGTGGGATAGTTCCAAGGTGTGTGTGTCAGGATTTTTTTAAAGTTATAAATGTATGTACTGAGCTTTGCCCAGTCAGAGCTCTATCTCTCCGTCTGAGGATGTTAAATTGATTTGAACCTTTTTTCTTGCAAGAAATGCTTCTGTCTCTGCTTCCTAACTCCACAGAAATAAAGCTTTTTCACTATAGATATCATCCTAGATATATTTTAAACCAAGGATCTCGCTTTGCCCACGTTGTTCTGGGCAGACCGGTGAGGCTCACCTGGTACTTGATGCCTGACTTGAAGTATCCCAGGAAGGTGGTGGACTCGTTGTTCTGCATCTCCCTGAACTGGACCGGCCCACCGCCCAGGAAGTCATCCAGCTGTGTGGCAAAGATGGCCGCCGCACCATATTCATCCTGCGAGCACTCGTTGCCTGCAGAACACAAACTGTTTTTTAAATAGAGTAGCTCTCTGGTTTTGCTTTCAGAGCAAATCGTTGCGCTTGGGTCGGTTTAGTGTTTTTACAGGCATACATATCCGGTAACATCATCCTGTTATTTTTCACATGACTGACATCTATGCCAACAGACTGGTGTTGATTCTCTCTGCAGCATCTTAAACACGGTTGCTTGTTTAAGCTGCCTTTAGAAGGTCACTGTTTTTTTTGGTTTAAACTAAATATTAAGACTCTATAGCTCCATTTACTCTACCCTCTGAAAAACGATCCGTACCGAGCTTGGATCAGGTAACTGACATCCCAAGTCTCCCAGAAGTTCCAGGAGTCTCCCTGATATCGATAGTTGGTCACGGATGCCTACAAGTCCCGGATTTTAGACTATGTGAGGTGTTTTTTTTTTTAATACGAGTGATAGATTAGAAGTACTTTGATTGCGCAGACAAGAGAGAGCGGGGTGCGGGGAGGAGAGTGCAGCATATCTGTCCAAAGCGATGCTCTGTTCAACAACGTTCCAGGCAACTGGTTGATCAGAGAGCGTGCTGATTGGTTTAAAAACAAGCCAATAAGTTTCGGTTTACTTTCTGACAGTCACCTAGTTACCACTCAAAGCTGTGCATCCTGTGAAATCGGTTGAATCCTCGACTAAAAAATGAAAATTTAAGACTCATTTTACAGCAGAATATACTTAAGTATGACCATGTCTAGCGAATCAAAAGCACAACAGATGTTCTTGGCTGGACGATTGAAAGTATTGAGTAAGTTCTACTTTGTGTTTAAGAAATTACAGTTAGTTATTAACAGAGATGGGAAGTAACGAAGTACAAATACTTCGTTACTGTACTCAAGTAGATTTTTCTGATATTTTTACTTTACTTTACTACTTATTTTTATGGCGACTTTTTACTTCTACTCCTTACATTTTAAAAAATTGGCTCGTTACTTTAGTTTTGAATCATTTCAATGGAGTTACCGTTAATATTTTTCACGTCATCAATACCAAATTCAATCTAACTGGATGGGAATCTACGTTGCATTTGACGCACCACTACAAGATGAATCGACAGATTCGGCGGTATTCATTGGCGGCAAATCATTGCAGCTTGGTGGCGGTGGCGTTAGCATAGTAGCATGGACGACGAGATGATTGAAAATGAACACAAGGGAGATCTAGTCCTATTGGCAGACATCCATTTAAAATGTAGGCAACGGCATGAAAAAAGTGGTTTCTACTTTTACTTTTATACTTTAAGTAAATTTACAAGCCTGTACTTTGTTACTTTTACTTGAGTAAAGAAGTTTAATCAGTACTTCCACTTTTACCAGAGTATTTTTTAACACAAGTATCTGTACTTTTACTCAAGTACGGAAAGTGAGTACTTTTGCCATCTCTGGTTATTAAACAGTTGTTGAAAATGAGTTTTTGGCTCTTGGGATTTCTGAGTTAACCGTGCAGATCTCGATTTCTTACGATTATTGACACATCACGTTAGCACAGTTCCTCGCCTCCTAGTGGCAATCTACAGTAATATCTCATCTCTAGAGGGAAACAAGCAAATCAACATGGCGGCGGCAGTAACATTCAGGAAGTTTCTTTGGAGAGTCAGGCGAAGAAGGCAGCGTTGAATTTACTTGACAGAGTCGGCTTTTGGGAAGCGGATACAACAAGGCAGACACCCTGTCTACTCTTAAGGCTAGGCTTAAAACTTTCCTTTTTGATAAAGCTTCTAGTTAGAGTGGCTCAGGTTATCCAGAGCTATCTCTATAGTTCTGCTGCTATAGGCTTAGACTGCTGGAGGACATAGGGACCCCTATTTCATCATTCTGCTTCATTCTATCTCTATTCTCCCACTCTGCAGAATCTGTTAGTTCAATCTCTAACGTTCTGCTCTCTCTGCTTTTTCTCATAGTAGCTTCATCTGGTCTGTTCCTGTTTGGCTGTGACTCCATCCTGGAGAGAAATATTAGCTGTGCTGCTGCCATCAACACCTTTGTTTCTAGATGTTGGAGCTTGGCCTGTTTTCCAGTGTAGTCCTGTTTCTCTGACTGTGACTAACTGGATGTGCTCTCTTCATCCTCTGACATGGGAGCTGGCTCGGAGCTCGTCTGCCTGGCTGTGTGTTTCTTGGACGGGGCCGCCTGTGGAGCTGGTTGACAGTTGCCTTTTGTATCTATGCTTCTTTTTCTATGTCTGCTTCTGTCTCCTTGAACCCCAGTGGGCCTCAGCAGATGGCCGCTCACACTGAGCCTGGTTCTGCTGGAGGTTTCTTCCTGTTCAAAGGGAGTTTTTCCTCTCCACTGTCGCTACAAGCATCCTTAGTGTAAGGGATTGCTGAAGAGTCAATGAGTCGATGCAATCAGCTGGTTTTCCTTAGATAGAAAACTTTGAATCAATTTGACTGGATGATCTGGTGAACTGGAAAGTGCCTTGAGATGACATGATGTGAATTGGATCTATAGAAATAAACTGAATTGAACCGTGCGGCACAGTAGGGAAGCTAGTTTTTTATGAATGATTACGGAAGCTGACTGTAAGGAGACGACGCTGTCTGTTCATGCGCTCTTTGTTATCTGAGAACCGAGCCAGAGCTGAACCGTGCGGAGCCCTACTGATGAACTAGAACCAGTTTAGCCCAGTTCGGTTGTGTCTGGTACAGTTCGGTTCTGTTCTGCGTGTCATTTACACTCAACAGTTATCTCGGTTACCGTCTCTGCACGGTTTCAAAGGGGTAGAGTAAACACGGCATATGTCACAGACCGGTTTCTGTTTGGGTTCCAGTTCCTGTCGGCTCCTTTATGTGAACCCACTCTGGATTTAAGTTCATAAAGGTTCAACCTGACAGCCTTCACTGGGAAAATAGGACGCTGCACAGAGGAAATGATTAAAGGTGTAGACTTGCGTCACGTTACTCAAGTCAGATTGCAGCAGATTTGGACTTTGGCTCCAATGATTCATGACTCCCCTTGGACTCGATCCCTCTCACTTAAAAATAGTTGATATCCTCGATCAAACAGAAAGCGACGTGCGATCCAACATAAAACACGACGACCCCCCATTCATCAGATTTTTCCTTCTCTTGTTGCTGCAACAAACACACTTGATTTACTATGCTCTTTCTTTTTCTCTCTGTAAATATATATAGGCACATATATATATATATATATATATATATATATATATATATATATATATATATATAGTCACATATGTATATATTTATATTTTAGTGTGAAAAGTTGTATTGTATTTCTTTAGATGATGAATGTGTGCAACATGTTTTCCGATTCTGAAGCTGTTTTTATATATTTTTTTTCATGCATTCTAGAGAAAATAAAGACAGAGAATAGTAGACAGGTCCTGTCAGGTGAAAACCAAGATCTAAAAGAGAAAAATAAAGCTTTGCATTGATCCCTAAATTACTGTACAGCCTTCCTGTCAGAGTCTTGGTTTGTTAGTTCCTGTTTTTCTTGGTTTTCCATTTGCTGTCCTCTGCTGCCCTCTTGTGTCCTCTTTCCCTTGCTCTGTTTTCTGTTCTGCCCTCACCTGTTTTCAATTCCCTCGTTAGCCCTCTCTTTGTCTCTGTCCCCTTTAAAAGCCTCCCTCTTCAGTTCCTGTTTGCTGGATCCTCGTCTAACATCTGTCTGCTTACCTCGTCTCTCCCTGGTTCCTAGAGTTTGGTTTTCCCCTGATGTCTCCTTGGTTCTGGTTCGTTTGGTTATTTTCTGTTGGATTTTGATTCCTGACTCAGTTCCTGTGAACCTTAATAAAACCACTTAAATTCACCTCTGCCTACTGGTCTCTGCATTTGGGTCCTCCAAACAAACACCTTTTCCTGACACTTCCCTTCAGTCTTGAAAGGACATTACCTGAAGTTCCTCAAAGCTGTTATAAGTTTTTGTTTATAGTGGGCCCAGTGGGAGATCTTTTCTGAATTCATACCAGATTTAAGAAAAATCAGTTGATGTTTTTCATGTAGTCTGCTCCGCTTTGCGTCAACAGATCGCTCACCTGCTTTATTTTTCTTTAGTATTTAGGTTTCATTTATATATCACTAATTCAATATTTTCATTCCTGCAGGTGTAATAACACTGAGCAGAGGTGTCACCTAACAAAATACAAATACCTTGTTACTTTACTTCAGTAAAAATTTTAGCTATCTATACTTTATTGGAGAAATTATTTTTTAGACAACTTTTTACTTTCTACTCCTTACATTTTGTTTCGTTTCATTTAAGCTCATTTTCATTCTGGTCCGTTGGTATTTAAACAAAAATAAAAAACCAACAAAATAATTAGTTTCATCCAGACAATTCATTTATTTGTGTTTGGACTCGGTGCTGCCCCAACTTGTTGCTCACCCCATAACAAAATAAATAGTTTTTCAAGATGATGCAAAGTTAAATTTGACACTAACTGAAAAAAATAATGCAGCCGTTTTGGGATTTATTTAATCATATTTAGTTACTTTAACACAATTGTTTCATGTTAGCAGGGTAGGACATAAAACTATTTTGTTGAAGTTACTAAATATGATTAAATAAATGCCAAAAACGATTGCTTTATTTATTTGCAGTGCTGTTACCATTAGTTATAAAACTAAAAAAAATAAAGTCTAAGGAAGTTATTATTCAGAATTGTAGAAAAATGTTCCATTAATAGGATAGTGCAGTAAAGCCTCTCCTCTTAACTTTTCTTTTTTTTTGCATTACTTTTACTTTTATACTTTAAGTAGTTTTAAAAATTGTACTTTTACTGGAGTAAAAAGCTGAAGTTGATCCTCTAACTTCTATTAAAGTTTTTTTTAACTATTTGAACTAAACAGATTAATATAATCCTTCACTAGTTAACTAAGGTTCAATTTCACATTTCTTAAATGAGTCAGTTTTTAATAAATTATCATGGTAATCATTTATAGGGCAAAAATAAACATATTTAAATTTGCCTGTACCGACTATAGAAAGGTCAAAGGGAAATGCATCATGTGGGCTGAAATCTAAATGCAGCAACAGATAAAATCACTGGACAGCAACATTTAACTAGATCACATATATTGATGAATCAAAACTAATTTAATAATTGATAAACGCTTAACGTTAGCTAATAGAACATGGTTGTGTTTTTTCGATGTGCCAATTTAGCAGGAAAGCATCATGTCTAATAAAAACGAATGAAATACTAACCAGTATCTTTATCAGTTTTTCAGTAATCTATTTACAAACAAACTATATTTAATTTAGTTATCATGGATTTTGTAAAAATCATTCCACTTCTAAAGCCTTGAAGCAGATGCCTGAAGGAATAAATTCCAGAATATTTGCTAGAATTTAAAATGTAAAAAATGATTTAGAAATGATCAATTATAGTAAAAATAAATAAATAAGGTGAAATGAAAGTTTGTTAATAATATAACTTACCATTTTCTACTTATTTGACTTATCATGACAAAGTTTGGGGAGGATATTGAAAATGTAGACTAGTTTAGTTTTCACTTTGCCAAAAAGAGCTATAAGGATTCTAAATAGAAAACGCTACAGAGGTCCAACAAATCCTTTAATCCTAAACTAAACGATAATGTTTTAAAGACGTTATTGAAGATTATGTTATTGCAAGGTATGTTTAAAATAAATAACTTTTTTCCAACAAATAGGCAAAATATTATTTTTTTTTTTAAGAGATTGCAATTACAATTTGAGATAACACTAATGAAAAGAAAAAAGAAATAAAGTCGGAACTAGATTAAGGAAACATTGCATTTATGGAAATAATCTGTGGAAAAATCTGTCTAAAGAAACCAAAGAGCGTAAACCAATTTCTTAATTCTTTTTAGTAAAATATTTTATGAGGCCAACATTCTGTCAGCTAGGCTTAAAAATGTCCTTTTAGATAAAACAGAGTAGCTCAGGTTATCCTGAGCTATTTCTATAGTTATGCTGCTGTAGGCTTAGGCTGCTGGACGACATGGGGTCCACTTCTCCTCACTCTGCTTCATTCTACTTCCAAACTCCAGTTCTGCAGTATTTGTTAGTTCAAATTCTACCTTTATCTTCTCGCAGTTTTTTCTGATCATAGTAGCTTCATCGGGTCTGGCTCTGTTTAACTGTGACATCATCCTGTTTCTCTACTAGAGATTGCTGTGGCTTCAACACACCTTCATCCTTTTTGACACAAAAAAACGACTCAGAGATCATCACCTTCACTATTTTGTTTCTAAAAATACGGAGGTTTACTCTTGTTAAAATAGGTTTTTCCCTTGGACTGTTGCTGCATGCATGTTGTGGGTGAGAATCCTGCAAAGTCAATGACTGAATGCAATCAGCTGGTTTTCCTTAGATATAAAACTATTAACCAATTGACTGTAGAATCTTATTGAATTATCTCTGCAAACTACCTCGAAATGATTAAAATATTGCTTGTGTTCAAGTGAAAAATGATGTTCATCATAACCCTTATTGAATATTTTTTTTATAAAATAAAAGCAGATTGTACACTTACATGAAATTTAATTTGTAAGGAAATCTGTTTTATTTATCATACATCAGTTTGTTCATTATTTATTTATTAGATATTTTTGCTTTATTTTCACAAACTATCTGCTTTTAAAAGCAATACAAATATTGCTTTCATCTTCCTCTTGCTGGTTGTTATTGCAAACACAAAGGAACTAAACAATTTAAACTACTATATGTGGTGAAATGACTAATTTAACTTTAAAATCCAGACTTAATACTTGTCTTATTAGTGGACTCCATTTGAGACTTTCATGCCTTTACTTTAAACCAGACTTGCAACGCTATGACTGGGGCCCATCTCTACAAGCTACGCAAATGGAATTTCACAAGCATCTCTGACTTTCAGCATAAATTATTTCAACCCAACTTACTAAAGAGGATGTGTCAGCGGTTGGAGCCTCAGATTTCAAAATAGAACAAACTTATCTCACCACATTTTAGCAGTTTTGTGAGTTCTGTTGCTTATACGCACCATTGTTGCATTAGCTTTAGAAGAAGTGACACTTAAAGCTGCTACTGTGGACACAAAAATCTTCTATTGCATAGAATGCATTGCAATGATGCCTAAATTTATATACATGCATATACATTAGTTTTTTTTGCCTTGAAGTTGTTGCCAAAATAGACTCAAATTTCGGTAGGTTTCCAGATTTGTGACTGTTATAACTCTCATGACTCTGCACTGCTAATTTCCACCACTCCTGTCTACTCCTGCTCATCTCTGTGCTGCATGTAACTGAATAATAATTTTCAACTTGCGTCTCTCCCGCCTGCATCCTAATCAAGCCTCATCCATATCACCTGTGATCCTGGCTTTATATGCAGCTCTGTGGTGAAAAAGCTTTGCCAGATTATCAAAAGCCATCTGTTGATAAATATCCAGCGTTATTTTCCTGCTTCCTGTCTGATCTCAATCACGTTTTTGTCTCCTGGATTTCCCAGTTCTGCCATGTGTCTGTGTCCATGTTGGATATTCTCATGGCTTCTGATATCTGGATATCAACTTTACTTCTGCTTCATAACTACCTTGTCTATTCCCCAGATTTGTCAGCATTAATCTGCCTCCTTGTCTTTGACTTTTTGCTTCCACTGCTATAACAACGTTTCTTTTCCCTGATCACATAGTCCTACCTTTTTCATGCCTTTTTGGTCAGCAATTGTTAAATTACATTTTATGTATGATACTTCTTTCACTATTTATCGTTCCTAACAAATCACTAGTGGTGATAAGGTGGCAAAGTAAAGGAAGTTTAAAGAGGGTTTAAAAGTAATTTTGAAAGCTAGAGCAAAGAAATAAACCTGGTGCAGTAGAAAAAAGTGAAATTCTGAAAAAATAAAATCTCTAGAGGCATTTAGAAAGACTTTCATTTGGGGTTGCCATCTTACCCAGCCACATGTGAAGGCAGTAGGACGGTGCAGAGGTGGTGAAGAGCAGCAGGTAGGCGTCCCCGGTGTAAAAGCTGCCATGTAGGGCTTTGGGAACAGGCTTAAGGTCCATGTTCTCAATACGCCAGACCTGCAGCCCAGGCTCTTTCCCTGCATTTTGAAACTCCTTGTGGGAAACCATGGTGGCTCTGAGGGGGGAGAGGGGAAAACACAGAGGACACAAAGACGACAGGTTTAAACTGATTCAGTTTCTAAAATATTTGCAACATGAAGACACACATGAACCTACTGACAGAAAATATAGGACAGAAAACACAAACCGCACAACCACAAGGTGACACAATGTTTTTTTTAGCATTGACTGTGATGTGTTTCCCTCAGCGAGGCTCATAGATAGCGCATGTAGAGAGAGATCGAAACCCACCATAGATATGAAACCTCTACGTGAGAGCTCTTCTAGACAAGCTCTGAAAACATCCGTCAGCCCCCCCCCCCACTGCAGCTTTAAAACCTTAGATTCACTGAAATCATTAGCCAATGAGTACAGGATGCAAGGCAACATAAAATATTTATAGATTTCTTTTCTTGTTTCTTTCTGAATCCCTCATTATCTCCATCTATGTATTACATGTGGAGTACCCCAAGGTAGCTGTCTGGGTCCACTATTATTTAATATTTTTACTAATGATTTACCATATATTTTACATAAGGCTAACATTGCTGTCAATTCAACTATATATACATCAGCAAGTACACAAATGGAATTAGAAACTGTTTTAAATACAGAATTACAATATGTAGTAGATTGGGTCAAATAAAATAAATTGGCATTAAATACTGTAAAAACTAACTGCATGATTTTAGGTTCAAATTACAATATTAATCAGGATCCTGTAATTAATATTAAGATTAACAACGCCGTTATTGAACAGGTGCATGAGACCAGACTGCTGGGTGTAATAGTTGACTCTAGATTATCATGGAAAAAAACATATTTGTAATATTATTGCAAAAATGGGAAGAGGTATATCCATTATGAGAAGACATGCAAATTTCTTAACTTCAAACATTAGGAATTATGCAATGAAAGCACTAATATTGACATACCTCGACTATTGCCCAGCAGTTTGGTCAAAGATAGATTGTTGTATTCATTGTTAATTTTCATAAGAAACATTTCTTTTTCCAAATTTCCTTCTGTTTTGTTCAAGCATCTTTCTTTCAGTGTAGTAAATCATCAGTACAGTACTAGACATGCAACTAAAGGTAATTTCACTTTACCCATAGTGAGAACAAATGCCATAAAAAATACTGTTGTGTTTAGAGGTATGAAAGAATGGAATGATCTGCCAAAACATATCCTGCTTGCTAATAATGTCAATAAATTCAAATTATATGTGAAACAGAATTTATCAAAATAATATAACTGAATGTTTATATTTATATATGTGTGTGAATATGTATGTATATGTGTAGGTATGTTTGCAGGTGTAAGAGTAGAATGTGTTTTATATTTGTCATATATCACACCCGCATGAGGGTACATATGTACGTTAATATGTGTATATATTGTATATGTATTTGTATATGTGTTTGTGTATTTTCTTTTTCTTTCAAATATTGGTTGTATTCTTGGTTTTGTTTTTAATGTATATATTTTTTCAGGACCCCAGGAAGAATAGCTGCAGCATAGCTGTAGCTAATGGGGATCCTTTCAATAAAACCAAAACTATGTATAATAAATGTAACTATTTAAAAGTAAGGCACTTATTCTTAGGTGGAATAAATTAGCAGTGACGCTGTATGGCAACGATCACAAAACTGCAAAAACAGGCCATGGAGAAAAAACATCCAGCTTTAAGAAAAGACACAATTCTTTCTGTAAAGGTCTACAACTTTTTCATCACAATTATACATTTTTTTTAAAATATCACAGCCACCAAACATCTAGAGTGGTTCAGACTAAAAGTATTAATTTTACTGAAAAAAGGCAACAAATTATCACCTTATCAGTTGGTTTTTTGCGGGATTACATAAAAATGTACAACTAATTTTATTTAAACATTTACCAGAGATGTAAATCAAGCCAAGAAACAACCCAATACAATATGGTGATGATCCAGATTCTAATCCAGAAACAGGACTTTTTTTAAAGGTTTCTTTAACATTATTTGGCGGAACAAGCAGTTCCCCCCTAAACCAGAGGGTGGCAGCAGTGTCTAGTGCTAGCATCAGCATTAGATAAAAAAAAAAAAAAAAGTTTGGAAGTATTATACTGAAGAGAAAAACACAAAAAAAATCAAAGAAGGAAGCAGAACCTATAATGAAGGTGAGAGCAGAACAGACACCAGAGGCTGCAGGAGCACTTGGTGCCTTATATGATTTCTACAGAGGTGTGCCTCATGCCAAGGAAAAATTATTCGTTAAAATGAGCACGGGCAGAGATGGCAAAAGTACTCACTTTCCGTACTTGAGTAAAAGTACAGATACTACTGTTAAAAAATACTCTGGTAAAAGTGGAAGTACTGATTAAACTTCTTTACTCAAGTAAAAGTAACAAAGTACAGGCTTGTAAATTTACTTAAAGTATAAAAGTAAAAGTAGAAACCACTTTTTTCATGCCGTTGCCTACATTTTAAATGGATGTCTGCCAATAGGACTAGATCTCCGTTGTGTTCATTTTCAATCATCTCGTCGTCCATGCTACTATGCTAACGCCACCGCCACCAAGCTGCAATGATTTGCCGCCAATGAATCCCGCCGAATCTGTCGATTCATCTTGTAGTGGTGCGTCAAATGCAACGTAGATTCCCATCCAATTAGATTGAATTTGGTATTGATGACGTGAAAAATAATAACGGTAACTCCATTGAAATGATTCAAAACTAAAGTAACGAGCCAATTTTTAAAAATGTAAGGAGTAGAAAGTACAGATATTTGTGTAAAAATGTAAGGAGTAGAAGTAAAAAGTCGCCATAAAAATAAGTAGTAAAGTAAAGTAAAAATATCAGAAAAATCTACTTGAGTACTTGTACTAGTATTTGTACTTCATTACTTCCCATCTCTGAGCATGGGCGATTTTTAGCTATATGTTTAAGTCAAGACATGGGGCAAAATGGCGGAGGTCTGCACTCTCCGTGTACTTTTCTAGTTGTTTTACCGTAAATCCTCTAATATTGGCCTGTATTCCATTAGCAGCCGGGTCTCTAATAATGGCCGGTTTTGTATGTCTTTTTTTTTGTATTGCAGTGCAGAAAAATAGCAGCTGCTGGAAGATGTCTGAATAATGTTCTGTAAACCGTTATGGTAACTGTACTTTTTCAATAAATTAACCTAGTATTTTATCGGTTTAAAGAGACACAATCTGTTTTTATTCCTTCCACTGGTCGTCTGTTTTGATCAAATAGAAATAGAGGCCTGCCTCTAATTCTGGCCTCCTTCCAATAATGGCCTGGACCAAGATGCACCTGAGTGAAATAAAGGCCCCGGCCTATATTAGAGGATTTACGGTATGTATTTTGATGGATAAATAAATAGATAAATATTTATTTATGGTTTCAATGCTGACCTTGACTCGTTTCCTGCAACCTTTAGATGTGCCTTTGGTTCGACGCACCTGAATCAAGTAATTAGATGATTGAGAAGAACTGACTGCTTACTGATGAGGCAACTCAGCCGTTTTATTCAGGTGTGTTGGACCAAGAATGGATCTAAAAATTGCAGGATACCGGCCCCCAGGAACTGGAATTGCTAACCACTGCTTTAGAGCAGTGGTTAGCACTCACCTGGTTTAGGCGCTCAGGTGAAACATGGACGTTTCCACTTTTTAACTGGTAAGTTAAATGTTTGGTTTGGTTGACTTTAGCATTTTTGGACCTGGAAACTGACGGCAAACAGTTAAGAAGGTGAGCCGGGGAGCGACAGTGCGCTACTTACCGGTCGCAAGGAGTTAAAGTTTTAGTTATCACCTATAACTAAAATTTTATTTCATAATTTTAGAAAAAATATATATTCTAAAGTGATATTCCATGTTTTTAAATCATATTTGTTTCAGTTTCGTCTCTTTGAATATTCAAATGGACCGCTGTCATAGTTCGAACAAGAGCCAGATTGAAGCACACTTCCTGTTATTTGTAACTCCTCTGCTGTGAAAACGTCCGTATGAAAATAATGGAAATGGGCTTTAATGTTTTAGAACCAGCCACCGCGTATAACTGCTTTTTGTGCGTCTAAGGCGTCAAGAGGAAGAAGCGTCTTGGTAACGTCCTCTAAACACATCTAGGAAGTGAAAATACACTTATTGTTATCTGATGCAGCTTCTGCAGCAAGCGAGCGTCATTGCGGAGTTTGTGGCTCTTATTTTAGAGAAGCAAATGACAAAAAAACTCATGGATTGAGTCATTTCTGATGGTTGGGGCCTGAATGGACACTCGCTATGGAAGTGAACTAGTCAAGGGCGTAGGTTTGATTTCAACTTTGGTAGGGACACTATTCTTCAGTTTCATTGGTCCTTTGCAAAAATATGCATGCTCTTTTTTATGCTTAATGTGAGCTTCAGGGCTCATTTTGTTTAAAGAAAACAGCAGCATTTCTTGCTACATTAATACAAATCTTATAAGCACTACATGCTCTAGATGCTGTTTATCAATATTTAAAGCATCACTGGCTCTGATGAATGTGGTATTAGGACTTTTTCCAATTTGAAAAGGATTGCATTTAAATTTACCTGCTACTAAGACAGTGTCTGTTTAACCAAATATAGTCTAAATATGTGGATTTATCCTGTGTTTTCTTCTGAAGATAGAGAATTGTGCAGAGGTAAACAGAGGTAAAACCCACTCTTATTTTTTTTTTATCTAATATGCTCTCTCTGGATAATGCAAAATAATACATTCAAGGGACGGCAAATAAATGTATTGTATTTACATGTGCACTGGAACTATAAGAGGAACTGACACTGAGCATTTAAAGTATTAATATTAGAAGTTGTACATCTGGGCTGTAGTCACTCTGTGTAGCTAATTTCATGTATTTTATCTATGGCTGAAACAATTAATCATATTAACAAATTATTTAAATAATCGTGAACTATGTAATTGATTAATCGTTAACTGGAATATAGGACCACTTAAATGTGCCTTTAGCCGACAGAGCGACCCACTTAGAGCAGGAATTATACCAAGATTGTAAAAAATATGTAAACATTTTGCATTTAAGAAGTAAAAAAAAAATAGTTTTTGTCTGTCAATATTCTCCATCCAGAACTCCTCCAAAGGAAACGTTTAAACGTTTCACCTGGTTTCATTTCATAAAAGATCTTCTTTAAGGAGCCTTTGGCTATCTGATTAAAAGATAAAATAAAAGAAATCCTAACGTTGTTAACTTACATTTCTCAAGTTCCACAAATCAAAAAACTCTCTCCTGCTTCTTTACAGAACTCCAATCAGAAGCTTTCGCCTGTTTTAGCGTAGATAATATATTTTTTAATTCGGACTAGTTTCGTAGCCCAATATTAATTTATTTTAGCGTCTTTTTTTTTCGCGCTCCAAGCACCCGCGCACGCACACATACAGACTAGAAAACACGCAATCAGAAAGAGAGAAGGCGGAACTTAAGGCAGAATAATCAGAGAGTTAAACCGCGCAGCACAGTTGATGCGCTGCTATGTGAAAGGGACAGGAAAGAGCAGGCAGCTGCAGCTACCAGGCAGAGAAGCTGCGAGAGGAAAAGAAGCGGCTGCTGTATAGTAAATTATAAACATGTTGTTTACATCCAATTATTGGTAGGGACAAATAGGTCCTTCCAAAATTTTGGTAGGGACATGTCCCTATGGTCCCTATGCAAACCTACGCCCATGGAACTAGTGTAAGACATTTAGGTTTTGTTTTTTTGCTCCCAAAACAAAAATTAACTGAGAAAATCCCGCCGAATGAGTTGGATAATTGCATCAGTTTTTATAAAAACAGTCAGATTTAGAAGTTAGAAACGGATTCCTTAAATCAACGGGTCTCTATTTGGACCATAAATGTGATCCTGATCAGATCCAAGAGCAGCCTGCTGACGCTGCTCAACTTTTAAAGCCTTTATTTGTCAACTGGAAGCATCAAAATGACAAGAAAAGTTCAATCAGGCTAAAATTTAAGTGTTCAGAAAAATTCAACCGGATTTTTATCAGAAATATACAGCAATATGGAGGGAATTTTGTTCCATTATTGCTGCCAGCAAATAATGCATTTTTAAAGTCAAAGGTAAATAAAAAAAAAAAAAAAACGCAATCCTTAAGTGAAACTTCTTAAATTAAAAAAGGAACATTTTGAAACTAACTTTTATATTTTCCCCAAATGTTTTTATTCTAAACTTTTTTCGTTTTTCTCAGTTTCTTTTTTGCAGATGGAGTTTTACGAATTGCATTCTTTATAATAGCATTTTACGGATCACCTTCTCTTCACTTTAAGCCCAATGCTAAGGCTCAACCAATAAAATATTGCTGCTAACGTCCAGCAGACCAATAGGAATGCATCTTTACTCCCTACACAAGAGGAAAACCCGCCCTCAGAGGTGAAGAGAATTTGACCTGGAAAACGCAATTTGAAAATAATTAAATTAGGAAAAAAACAATTGAAAATGTAAAATCTTTAAAAAAAAATGAAATTAATTGATATATCATTTGAAAAAAAAAAAAAAAAAAAGTCCAGTAAAGATACTCTACCCTTTTTAAATAAAAAAAGTTTCATATTTTTGGGTTGATTTTTTTTTTTCTTCAAAATTTCCATTCACAAAACATGCTCTTGCTTTGCAGCAGTAATGGAACAAAATTCACTCCATATAGGAGAAGCTGGATCTGGGCCAAAACCAAGCAACTTAAATGAGCTTTGTGATGGGAGGGGGGGGGGGGGGGGGGGGGGTCAAACTCCAGCCAGACTCATGCCAGGAACTCACTGAAGGCAATAAATGGTATGAGCTTTGTTTTTCTGCGTCGTCATTAAGTTGAGTCAAACAGTTGAGAGAAGTTGGTTCAGATATCAGTGAACGAATTTGGAAATAAAGAAGCTATTTACGTCATTCTGACCTTTTATTTAAAACTTTATAACTTGCAAAATTATGGCGACCAGTGTATGCATTTATGGCAAAGCTGAACTTTTTCCTTCAGGACACCAAACATGGTGTTTAACTGTTTTAACAACAAAGATAAAAAAAAAAACTCCCTTATAGGAGGTTTAATTAAATAAACATTTTAAAGAAAAAAAACAGCCTTTAGAGGAACTATTCTTCCTCTTTTGGGCCTTTGATGCATATTGAAAATTCAGATAAGCCCAGATCTCTGCCTCCATCCTGATATCAGTGGATATCTAATCAGTATCTCTGCTGAAATAAACCGGATAATCACCATGGAGTTAGAGTGACGTCTACCTTCATAAAGGCACGGAAGATTTTAAATTAACAGCTACATTTACAATCAGGGTTTAGTTTAGAATTGGGGCCCCCCCGTAGACCTGGATTTGTGGGGCCACATCTCACAGAACGCTGCACATTTAGGACAACAATGTTCAGTATTTAGCAGATAATTAGACTGTGGTAGAGGTGAGAGGCACTGTGGGATATTTCTCTGGCCTGGCCATTAGCTGTTGTTGTCATTGCGTTCTAGGGATTCGTTAGAGCAAAACAGACGATTCCTTAGCGGGGAAAAAACGCGATTAAATGAGACAAACATGATAAAACTGCAAAAGTAGAATTATAACTATTCAAACTGAACCGTAAAGGGCTGGTTATCCTCCTGCAGCAGTGTGTCGCAGTTAGCTTCTCGCAGGTAAGAAGCAGATATTTTGGATTTATACTCAATTTTGAAGCGTGGTCTGCACTAGCGTTGCCAATCGTCCCTTAAAAAACTGAATCTGTCCCGTATTTAGTGGAAAACGAACACACTTTGTCACCTTTACTGTGAGAGTAAAAAATAGTCAGTAAAAAGCTAATGAAAAATGAAGAACAATGGCACGTTATATACAAAACTTACGGTAAACTTGTCCCCGGGCCCTGTCCTGCATTATGACCAATGAGCTGACAGCATATAATTAACATATAATTATTATAATTTTTGCTTTACTCATCTTTAATCTGCAGAACTCAAACACAAACAACTCCTCACTGCTGCAAAAGCTCAGAGGAAATACAGGGAAAAGCAGGCTAACACCACATAATGTGGCATTGAGCTAAAAAAATGTTTTTCTGTTGTACAACTGTAGCTTCCAGTCATTACATTTAAGGCACAAATATGTTTACAAGTTTGCTGTTGCACTAAAAATGTTATATTGGCGTTAAGTGCGACACCCACGCAGACGACCTGGTTTCTGAGCATAAACTAGGCTTAAACGTTTAACTCTTCCCAGCCACTAGGTGGCGGGATAAGCCACACTCAATCTCCTGTACTGCTTGACAGTTGCTCTGCTAATGCTAATGCTAACCACATTCTGGGGGCGGGCTTTCCTCTGGACAGAGCATCGAAGACGCATTCCTATTGGTCTCCACAGACTTTCGCAAAAACATTTTTATTGGTCAAAAGAGAGTTAATAATGATGTTGAAGCAAAAGAGAATATTTTTCTGTAAAATGACGTTTTTAAAGAATGTAATTTATAAATTGCAATGTGAAAAACTGAAATATGAATAACAAATGTGAAAAAATACAAAATAAAAGACAATGTCTGAAAAAACAGCAAATGTAATCTCAAAGCCTCTTTTTGACTAAAAGATTTTTCAAAATTGTATTTCCTGTTTTGCATTTTTCGGATTTCCATGTTCTGTGCTTGCAACAATAACGGAGCAAATTTTACTTCATACATTTATACTCTTTTTCAGTTTTGCATAAAATAAAATTCTGTGGTTCTTCCCTAAAATCATTACATCAAATAGTTTCACATCTGCTTCTAATAAAAACTGAAATAAAGTCCTGAGAAACATCCTGTTTCTAACATCTAAAGATGTTAAACTCTTCCTGCAGACATGGTGTCACCAGCATCAAAGATGGCAGATTACCCTGAATGCCTTTTCTTCAGGATTACACAAGCATTAGATTATAACATCTGTGTGGCTGCAGGATTACAGTCTGGTAACATTTACTGGCTGCTCTGCATCCACAGTGCTTGTGGATGAAGGGAAACCAGTTTGCACCAGTAAAAACACTGATGCCACCATAAGACTGTTATTACAGAGGAGTTTGTTCAGCTCCGGTTTCACAGGATTTACTGTAAGAGCTTCCTGATCGATAAAGTGTGCAGCCATCAGGCTGCAGAGGATTAATGCACATTAATAGAAGAATCTCACTGATGGAGTTTGACTGTTGCAGCAAATAAGACTTTTTTTATTATCCAAATAATTGGGAATTTGTTGTTTAGAATGAATGTTAAACTAAAGATCATGCTTTTTTTTTTTTACTTTAATCATTTATTAAAGGATATTTTACCGTATTTCCTGTATAGCAGATGGTAATACCATATAAATACGCACTAATGCGCCAACATGTTGTCTTTTTACAGACACGGAACAGTTTTTTTCCTCCTCTCTCTGCATGATCGTCTCATTAAACCCTCTTTTTTTCCTTTCCTCTTTTTTTTTCCACTAATGGAAAATCTCGTTAAACTCTCCAATAAGCGCAAACAGATCATCCTGCGCGTCCAGCAAGTCCTGACGAGCGGATTATGATCAGCAGAGAAGAAATCATGACTGAACCTGAACCGAAGAGAAGGAAGAAGAAAATGATTTTACTCACAGATTGTTTTTCTTTTTGGATGAAACGCAGCAGAGACGGACAGAGAGGAGCAGGAGGAGAAGAAGGAGGAGGAGGAGAAGGAGGAGCGCTTCTGGAGGCTGGAGATGTGGGAGTGAGTCGGTAGTGAAGCGAGTTTGTGTTTTACTGTGAAAAAAGGGGAGGAGGAGGAGGAGGAGCAGAAAGGCGCACTGATTGGTCCTCTTGGCTGTCAGCAGTTTAAGTCTCAAGTTTGCAGAAATATTAATGCTTCACTTCAGTAAAAGGAGCTAAAACTATCATTGATCATACTGAATTTATTGCACGTTTTTAAAGCACCATGTACTTGAAAGTATTCTAATAAAATGCTCCTTCAGACTAAATTGGGGAATTTTTAAGTTTGCAAAAGTGTATTTTGAATATTCTGTGGGATGGACAAACATTTAATTCAGTTTATTTCTATAGCTCCAATTCACATCATGTCATCTCAGGTCACTTTCCAGTTCACCAGATCATCCAGTCAGATTGATTCAAAGTTTTCTATCTAAGGAAAACCAGCTGATTGCATCGACTCATTGACTCTTCAGCAATCCCTCACACTAAGCAAGGTAAAGAAAATTTATTTGTATAGCACAATTCAGTACAAAGACAATGCAAAGTGCTTTGCATGATTAAAATATAGAAAAATAAAACAGAATCAAAGCAAGTAGGAATAAAATAAGAAAATAAATAAAAAAAATAAAAAATAAAAATAAAAAAACGCATGCTTGTAGTGACAGTGGGGAGGAAAAACTCCCTTTGAACAAGAAGAAACCTCCAGCAGAACCAGGCTCAGTGTGAGCGGCCATCTGGGGTTCAAGGAGACAGAAGCAGACATAGAAAAATAAGCATAGATACAAAAGGCAACTGTCAACCAGCTCCACAGGCGGCCCCGTCCAGGAAACACACAGCCAGGCAGACGAGCTCCGAGCCAGCTCCCATGTCAGAGGATGAAGAGAGCACATCCAGTTAGTCACAGTCAGAGAAACAGGACTACACTGGAAAACAGGCCAAGCTCCAACATCTAGAAACAAAGGTGTTGATGGCAGCAGCACAGCTGATATTTCTCTCCAGGATGGAGTCACAGCCAAACAGGAACAGACCAGATGAAGCTACTATGAGAAAAAGCAGAGAGAGCAGAACGTTAGAGATTGAACTAACAGATTCTGCAGAGTGGGAGAATAGAGATAGAATGAAGCAGAATGATGAAAAAGGGGTCCCTAGGTCCTCTAACAGTCTAAGCCTATAGCAGCACAAATGCAGAAAATATCTCAGGGTAACCTAAATGTTTTGGATTAAGTATAAGAAAGGTAGAGCTAATGAGAAACGTCTTTCCGAACTGCAATTCCGGATCAGGCTGTTAATGTTTTACCTCCACTTACCTTTCTACTTACCCAGCAACAGATCCTCACTGTGTTTTTTTTTCCTCCATCTGGCCTCCTTAGTTTACTGTAGTGCATTAACTTCCTTTAGAGACTGAGGATGGAGCCCAAAGTAAACACATGTATTTATCTTTACATGTTTGTATTCTTGTCAGCTGAAACCTGAAGTATGTTTTGCATTTATAGTCCTCTTCTTGACTCAGTATCCAGTGAATTTTTTTTATTTTTTTTTACTACAGTAAGCTGCAACTTTTTGTGTTCCACTTTTTCTTTGTTTATTGGGAATCACTCCAGTCTCAGGTAGATTGGGGAGGTTTTAAGTTGGGGTGGACTTTGATTAGGACATTCTAACTGGATTGGGTTTATGTCCTGCTTAAAATGTGAACCATCAACAGGAATTTTCTTTATTTAGAAGAGCGTCCCTAAAGGGACATGGGGCCAGCTCCTTCTGTCAGTGTGGAGATGATTTGCTCTTAAAACATAATTAATGGCTTCCTTTTAACTAGGGATGCACGATATAATCGGCCCCCTATCGGTATCGGCCTTAAAACTGAATATCGGACATCGGCCACCCCACCGATATTTTTTTTACCAACATATTTTTATTGAGTTTTTACACTTCGGAAATACAAGCATGTAGTTATTTGAACAGGTTCTCTTTGTAGTCATTACATGACAATAATTATTTTACTCAATCCAGAGAAATAAAATACAACAACAACAAAAAAACAAAACAAAGAACACAGCTTCTCAAAAACTGGGGTATTCACACAGATTACAAATTGGTCAGATATAATTATACACATCTATACAACATGGCACACCACAGGTTCTGGCAAATCAGAACTCAAACAAACCCTCTGTCAAGTCCTTAATAAAATTAATGAAAGGCCCCCAAATCCTCTCAAAAAGATACCCTTTGGATTTCCTAATATATGTTATTCTTTCTAGCGGCAAATTAGACGCCATCTGTTTTAACCACTGCGTGACACTAGGTCTATTGATATTTTTCCAAGTCAAAGCAATACATTTTTTTGCAGCCAATGAGCTTATTTCTATGAAAGTGCATTCTGATTTACTAAAGTTATGTTTCCCAGGGAATAAAGCTAGCAGGAACAATTTAGAATCCAGTGGAACTTGCTTTAAGATATTTTTTTCAATTATATCTTTCACCTCTGTCCAAAATGCTTTGATTGGTCTGCATTCCCACATGCAGTGTATCAGAGTCCCTTTAGAATTACATTTTACACACAGATCTGGGATGTTATTATTGTATTTATTTAAATGCACAGGTGTAACATAGATACGCATTAGCCATTTAAATTGTAGGATTCTAAGACGACTGCTTATGGACATTGTGTGAATTTTAATGCAAGCCTTTTTCCAATCCTGTTCACTGATATTTGATGATAGGTCCAAATTCCAGTTTATAAGTTTATTGTTTGAGTCCTCTAATGAGTTAGAAACCAGCACATTATAAAAATCTGAAATGATGCCCTTCCTTGATTTATTCCGAGTCATTAATTTTTCAAGTAACGTAAGAGGGGGCTTGTTAAGGTTGTTGTAATTTGCTTTAACAAAGCTTCTTATCTGAAGAAATTTGAAGTAATGTTTTTTATCCAGATTGAATTTGGTTTGTAGCTCTGCAAATGACAAAAATATATCAGAATTTGATGGGTAAAGGTCACCAACAGTTTTTAAACCTTGCAGCGCCCAAAGCCTAAAGGTTCCATCCGCTCTACCTGGAGCAAACAGCTGATTACCCCATATTGGGCTAAATTGGGATATGTTGTTTGGCTCCGCAAGGTAATTTCTAACGTCCTGCCAAATTTTTAACATGTTTTTCAGAATGGGATTTGTAGTACGTTTCTTTAACTTCGTTGATGTGTCAGAGTATATGAACAATGGAAGAGCTAAACTTAAATTTTGGGACTCCATTTCTACCCAGTGAGGATTATTTTTATCTGTAAAATAGAACATAATAGTCCTTAACTGAGTGGCCCAGTAATAAAATTTAAAGTTGGGACACTTTAACCCCCCTCTTTCAAATGGTAAATAAAGCAGCGAGAGGCGTAGCCTAGGCTTTCCATTATTCCACACAAAAGCCAAAATGTTTTTTTTTAGCCAATTGAATAGTTCAGGAGGAGGCGGCAGTGGAATGCTTTGAAAGAGGTATAATAGCTTTGGAAGTATATTCATTTTCAGGACATTAATTCTTCCCAATATGGATATAGGCATAGATGTCCAGTTGTCAATTGAGGCAGCTATTGTTTTCATTAAGAGTTCGTAATTGGATTTGACCCCACCGATATTTAACCCAATATTTAAACAGCTTAGTCTAAAAAAAAAAAAAAAAAAAAATACTACTTCTTCTTCTTCCTCAAAAACTTATTTTTTCCAAAGACGAGGGAAGAAATATTGACACATTAAAATATCCCAATATCTTCATATGCTGATATATTGCCATTTAAAAACACCATATCAATCTCTTTTACTAATGAAATATTGCTATATGTCATCGTTATGCTGCGAAATCCCCCGAAAATTCACCAAATGTTGCCATATTTTTATATGTTGATATATTGACGCGGTATCAATCTATTTTACTAACAAAATCTCACAAGAATTTGCAAAATATCACGAGAGTTTGTAACAGAACGATGAAATTTCACCAGATTTTGAAAGTAAAATAGATCGATACCGCGTTTTTTAAAATCTATTTGATATCAGCATATGAAAATATATTTGAGTATATTATTTTTCAATGTGTCAGAAATGGATAACAAAACTGCTATTTTCAATGACTACTTATTTTTGTCCAGCTTTAACATCGGTATCGATATCGGTTATCGGCTACATGAGTTTTAAAATATCGGCATATCGGATATCGGCCAAAATCCCAATATCATACATTTTAACAATAAATCCATAATATTAAACGCTTGAGATGTTGGTCCATAACCTGCTTAACAATAAGCCCACATAGTTAATCCTGACCCGTCTGCTGTGTTTCTCGGTCTTCCTGATGCTCTTTGTTCTCCAATGTTCTCTATCAAACCTCTGAGGTCAAACAAAGAACAGCATTCCTGCCTTTATGCTAATTCTATTACGCGCTAATGAATTTACTTTAATACAATTTGGCAGATTGATGTTAATGATGCGGATATTAGAAATTTTTGGCCTAAGGCGAAGGCAGGCATGGGGTGTTCAGAAAAAACAAAATCACTGGTCAATTATAGAAATGCAGACAATATAGTATAATAATACGTGTGTAATATCCAGCCACGCGGGCCACCTCCTCCAGGGGAATTCCATGGCGTTCCCAGGCCAGCCGAGAAAAAATTTGCACCATTTCCACTAGACCTCTGAAAACCGATCTGTGCCGAGTTCGGAACGAGCTTGGATCAGCTAACCGTGCCGGGCTTGGTTCCTTACGACCGTTTACACACCAAGCTAGCACGGTTCCTCGCCTCCTAGTGGCGATCTCCGGTACTGCTGCTCTCTAGAGGTAATCAAGCAATGAAGGAGGCAGCTTTTGGTGAATTTACTCGACAGAGTCGGCTTTAGGGAAGTGGATACAACAAACGATAGTCTAATCAGGGCTTCAAGACGCAGGAAACAACGACAGACATTGAGGTTCATCACCTGCTAAGCAGAGACATCACTGGAAATCCTGTAGCCCGATAGGAAAGCTAGTGTTTTCTCTGAAATTCCATGATTATGGAGGCGGACTGTAAGGAGATGATGCAGTCTTCTCGT